TCTTTACTGAACAGCTGGAAGAAAAGTGCAAATGACGAAAATGGCGACATGGAAGTTATCGGAATTTTGCCCATTCAATAAATGTTGCGTGGTAACTTTAAATTCCTTGTCCTTCTTTTTTTTCTAAACGTAGCATTTCAAGTTTATTCTCGAATGCAAATCTTCTGTAACATGTATTTCTTTCGATGATCCGTGAAGTGAGAGAAAAAGGGTGAAAAATGCAGAAGCGGTTATTTTATCACCAGTTGATAGCAACTAAAAATTTCTGAAGATAAAGTAAAAGATAGATATTTAAACTGATGAGATGAATAAAAAAGACAACTTGAAAAAAAAAAAAGAAAAATATTGAAGAAATTCATGATACCTGCTATGGTGCATATCCGAGATCAATTAATAACAATAAAATTTGCTGAAATATCATATTGTGATATTCATTGTGATCATCATGTCGTCTTAGTCCATTGTTCATTGATTGTGATATTCATTGATCTATAATATCAATTTAAGTCTCTTGTCTTAGTCCATTATTCTTATCATATCATCACTTTTATAGGCGGAATTTTTCATTGAATAAAAAGTAATTGCTGCTTCGATCCGTTTCATTCATATCTTTACTAACGATTCATTTGAATTATTTTTATGCTATTTCAACATGTTATGTCCATTTTATACGTGTTCATTGAATATTGATATATTTTTCATATAAAATTAAGGTCAAAAATTACTTACTGCTCATATAATTTGTATTGAGAAAAATTTAGTTATCGATTTGACATAAAATTGCTTGATGTTACAATAACATGGAAGATTTTTGGTAAACGATTTCACATATATAATGTAAATGCAATACAATGATTATGAGCAGAAACAAATGGAATAGAGCACAGTATTGCTAATAAAATAAGTATTGATGGAACGGAGTATGATGCTAGTACAGTATGAAGTACAGTATTAATGGAATGGGATACAGTATTGTTGAAGTTTAATAATAGTAGAATGGAATACGATATTTTTACAGCAAGATGCAGTATCGATGGTATGGAGTACGATGTTGATACGGCATAATGTGCCACATTGATGGGACGGAATACGGTACTGCTACAGTAATGTGCAACATCAGCAGAATGTTATGGAACAAAGTTCAACAATGATGGGACGGAGTACAGTGTTGCCACAGTAAGAACAATAGTAGAATGTTACGGCATGATGTGCAACATTAAGGACATGGAGTACGGTACTGTTACGGTAGGATGCAGCATGAGTGGAATGTTGCGGCATGATGTGCAACATTGATAGGACTGAATACGGTATTGTTACGGTAAAGTTCAACATTAACAGAACGGAGTACGGTATTGTTATAGTAAAGTGCGACATTAATAGAATGTTTCGGTTGAAAATCAACATTATTAGTGGAATGAAGTACAATATTGATACGGCATAAAGTTCAACACCAATGGAACGGGGTACGGTATTGTACATTGTAAAGTGCATCGTTAATGGAATAGAGTATGATATTGATACAGTATAAAGTGCGACATTGATGCATTGATCTACAACTTATTTTGTTCAAACTCCTAAACTTGTATACAAAATTGCTTCCCTTTTCTTCAATTCACACTATTAACCTTTGCTGCGAAATAACTGTTCCTTTTTCATATTTTGAATTTCGAAAAGAATTAATGGAAAGAACCATTTCAACAAACTTTTTTTTTTTCCTATTGATGGAAAAATTTCACAAGAACTAATAGTAATCTTTATTATTTATATTCGGTTTTGAAATGAATGGAAATGATATGCTGTATTGCAACAAATCATCAGAAACACTTTGAGATGTTAAATTAAGCTTTTATGTATTAGCTAAAATATTTTTAGTTTTACAATTTGTCTGGGAAATATTAATATTTCTATATTCACATTTCAGATCATGCTAAAGCAATTCTGCTGAAAATTTTCTAGATTGGGATATGTGAGGTATTTGATTGAAATACTATTTGCAATCACAGTTTGCAATTTAACTGATATTTTAAACTTTGTCGTTATCCTACTTTACAGATCGAAGTTATTATTATTATCATTATCCAAACTTTTGAATTTAAACCACTATTTCAAATCTGGTTAGTTTCAAGTTTTTTTATATCTTTCTAAAAAACTATCTTAAACTTCTCAACACTTGTTTTCTTAAAGTTGATAAACTGGATGTAGTCACCTCTTCAGGACATGCCATTGAATCGATTATCTGTTTCAAGAGCATCTTTGCAATATTAATGGAATCGTTTCAGACATTGTTCAAGCCTATGATAGAAACAAAAATGAAGAAAATAAATGACTCAATTGAATTTTCCATCAATTCTAATCTTCGGTACATTTTTTGTGCAATCTTGAATTTCATTCAAATTCACTGCAAATTACGATCAACATACAACAATGTCACTTTATTGACTGATTAAAAAAAGTTAAAATGATAATCTTTATTACAGTGAATTGCTAGTATACAGATAGCAGTCAAATCACGATAATCACAAATATTATAATGTAATTGAATTAATTATATAAGTAACAAAATATTAGTAACTTCATTATAAATAATATCAGTTTGATATATTTCATTTTTATTTCCTAAAAATTTCTGCAAATTGAGTATAATACTCACAAAAAAAGTTGTTCAAACGGTAACAATAATGATAATATTGATTATAATGATTTAGGATGATCATTGAAGAGCTAGGATTTCAAAGTTTCATTTCACAAAAAAAAGATTTTTTTTCAAATAGAAATGTGGAAAATTGTAAAGCAAAATTATATGATAATGAGCTTTTGTTATTATATTAAATTTTTTGTTATAAACAGAATCCAGTGTAAGCAAATTACTCAATTACACGTTTCCAATTAGATTGAATCTGAAGTGAAGAAAAGGTTAGATTACTTCTTCCGTTTAATAATTATTCAGAAAAATAAAACTCTTATTTTTATCCTATTTTTGATGCTCTATGAAAAATGTCTGATTTATTTAAATATATTATTGTGTGTTAAAATGTACACATTTTTTTCGATGTATATTTTTTTTAAGGTTGTATATTTTTGCACGTAAAACAGCACGTTTCACACGTACGTATAAATAAAAACTATTCGTTTCTTTTTTTTTTTTTTTTTAAGCTTTCTAAATGATTCAATTAGCTCAAAATTTACCCATTTAAAAGTAAATATCTGATTATTTATTTAAGCAACAATAAAGTGTTAATATTACTTACGACAGAAAATATGGTAAGTTCGATTGGCGTGAAATTGTTTTTATTATTCAATGAAGTAATTAACAAATTTACTATTTGTTATTATAATTATTTGCTATGTTCATTCAAAACTTGCTTACCTGTATGAGTTCCTTTGCTTTACTTTGCTCTACCATAGGTTAAAAAAAAAGACTGACAAAAATTGTTATATCTATTTGTTAGTTTTAAACAAGTAACTTACTTATTCGATCTCACTTTTTTTTTTTTTGAGTTGAAATTGCTTAGTTTCTAATTAATGAATAATTTTTTATCAGAATTTTTAAGTTTTCGCTAATTTGCCTTGTTTGTTCCTAATTAAGATATACAGTTTTACTCAATCACAATTTTCATTTAGCATTTTCAAATTTATTTTATGTTTTATTTGCTTAATGTTTATCAGTTTTTTTTGCGATCTTTGTACTTTCCTTAATCGTTAACTTTTAATATTTTGCAGATTTATGGAATTCATTTTGATTTGGAATTGCAATTTTTGTCAAGAATTCCTCAATTTTTTGAATACCGATAGTCTTTTTTTTTTTTGATAGACTTTTTCTAAATGATTTGAATCGTAACTATGTTGAATGGATTTCTAACCAATATTTGACTTAGATTCCAACTCATATGCCTTCGAAGTGATAATAACAAGTTTTACTTGTAATCATATCCTGAATAAAACTAATTAGGTTGTCCTAATAAAAAATTATTTTAGTAAACACAAGAATTGAATATTGATTCAAATTTGTTTTGTTTGGAGGTTACTAATTTAGCGCGATGTGATCTAATGGGCAAATAATGATCAGTAACCAGAATGTTTGAACAAAAAAGGTCAAAGGTCAGTCGTTTTGTTAATAAATATTATTGCATAAATTAGCAAAGAAATGCTTTAAAACAATTTTTTTCACAAAAGTTTGAAATAATGTTCATAAATGTTACTGTTATACTATTGTTTATCAAATATTTTAAAACAATGCATGTTTCCATCAAAAAAATAAAAAAAAAATTTCAAAATGTTAAATTACCAAAATATCATTGTTGTAGAGATATTATTGCATAATTAAAACATTCTAAATGTTTTTCCGTATTTTTTTTTTTTTTTTTTGTTTTTTAATAAACAACAAAAAAAAAACTTTAAGAAATAATTTGAGAGCAAAATTATATCGAAAAATAATTTTTGCAAGTAGCAAATTTTGAACTACAACTTTCAGCAATTTCAGTTCGAAATTTAATTTTTACGAAAATGCTCCAATATCGGTAAACTTGATGAAAAGTAATCATTTTCTATTATTATTTCAGGAAAGATTGAAGTCTAACATTTTATTATTTACACTTTTAATTTAAGCAAATAAACATTGTTACTAACGACTGTTGATAGTTAAATATTTCTATTGCTTAAAAAAAAAACATGTATTGAAATGAATATTTCAACAATCTATGTAACTCATACAAAAATAATTGATGAAATTAAGTGAAGGCAAACAAATTGAAATTAAAATTAACAAATAGTTGAGAGAAAAAAAAAACATATTCTGTTCAAATTACTAAATCATATTTCATTTTGTCATTATTTCAAATCATTTATACATTAAAACATCTGCTTGCAGGATTAGTTCTTAGTAGAATTAATGGAAATAAAATAAAAAAAAAATGTCACCCACTATTCATTATATATTTTAAAATTTATATTTCAATTACTATTCTTCTATCATTCGCAGTGGAAAAAAGAAGATTTGAATTATGAAAGATTATCAATTATTCTTTTTTGCTCTTCTCATTACGATCATTCATTTAGCTGTTGAAGAAAAATGTGTTGGATGCTCCAATATTGAAATGTATAATCATTCTTGTTTTCTTTTTTTTTTTTATTTTGTTTATTTTAAAATTTGCAATGAAAATAAATTTACTTCTACAATAGCAAAAAAAAAGCGAAAAAATTTCGTATAGACAAAAAAGAAAAAAAGTAGCAATGTTTCATATAGTTTATTTATTATTACATAACAAAAAAAGTTCCAAAAAAAAGCTTTTTCTTCTAGTAATACTAATAAAATACTTTTTTAAGTAATTTTAAAGTCATAAATATTTTGTAAATAGCAAATGCAAGTGAAATGCATTCATTTAATGTATTCGAAAATTTGCAAATTACAAATTCTTGATGAAATTAATTAGCGATAGATAAAAGTGATTTGTTGTGAAGGAAAAAATTTTGAATTAGCTTATCATTTGTAAATTCTTGATGAAATTAATTAGTACATGGTGTATTTAAAAATTCTATTTCAGGTATCAAAAGCGAATAAAAACAATGCGATATGGACCATTTGGTTATTCATACGGTTTTCGCATATTTGGAGCTCATAGTTTCAGTCCATTTACAGTTGGCTTAAAATTAATTTGATAATTTGTGACATAATCTTTGTTAAAGCTGCAGAAGCTTTGACAAATACTGTTTCGTGACAAATAAATTCGGTAATTTATCAGTCTTTACATTATTTTATCAATCCTTATCACTTGTGGATGTTAAACTTATCAACAATTGTTCATCCTTATCGACGCCATTTAGCGCAAAATGTAATGCATACCTGGTGAAATAAGCCAAGTATTTTTTCATTCAAATCATAACAGTTTTCTCATCGTTTTATCATTTGAGAAAGTTTCACATTTGAGTACTTCTTACTGTAGCATTACCGTAACTTCTTAATGTAACATTACAGCAGCTTCTTACTGTAACCTTACTATGGCTTCCTACTACGGTATTACAGTAACTTCTTACTGTAACATAGTGGTAATATTGTCTTTTAGTGATCGTAATTTTTAGCCATTTAATGGAAATTATTTCATTTTTAGGATAATTTGTAAGTGAGAATTTAATTTATCGAATATAAAAATAAAAATAAGTCTTTCAAAAATTTTTGTTTATTTTTTTCAAAACACTTATTAGTTTTTCGTTTAACTTCGATTATTACTAACAATAAAAATAAATATTGAATCAAACAAATGAATTAAACAACTCTTAGAAGACTTTATGACAACATCTATTTAACTGTTCATTTTAATTAAATTGAATTTGAGCAAATAAATTAGTAGAAATTGATGAATAAAATTACCATAGTTTCAATTTAAAAAATAATTGATTTTTTTTAATTTAATAAATAATTGAACAGTTTATTTTATTATATGTGCACTTTGCACGATGTAGCAAATCTTGTTGAACTTTTCCTTTTTTTAACTAGAACAATAATAAATTAAAAACTTTTTTTTAAAAAAAATCCTATTAATTAAATATTAATAGCATTAATAAATATTAACGATTTGAATAATTAGAATTTTTTGTAATTTCAAAAAAAAATTTTTGAAACTTCTGAAAAATCCTAAATCATTAATCTTTTTTTTGTCTATTAAATTGGCTCAATTTAGCTTTATATTTTTTTTTTAATATCAATTGATTAAATCAATCAATAAAGTTTTTTTTTTTAAAAAAAAGGAATAAAACCGGTACTTTTTAATCTTTTAATCTTCCTTGATCGTTGTTTTTTAGATAATAGAAGGCATTTTTTTTTTTTTTAAATTTTTTACTTTTTCCAATTTTCTTTTTTGTTTTTGTTATGAAAAATATTTTTCTCATTTATCACTCTTTTATCATTCAATTTTTTGTTACTTTATGCAAAATAGTTTTCTACTTCTTTTTTTTTTTCATTTTTTTATTTAACATTTTGTTTTTAATCTTTCAATGAATTAATATATTTGCATTAGATATTGAAGTATAAACTTAATTAACTAAATGCATTGTTATTAACTTGTAGCACTTATTTCGTTTTATACCATTTATAAATAAACTTAAAAATTATTTCAATCATAAAATCAATTATTTATATTTACAATAATTTAACAACAACAAGAAGAACGAAAAAAAAAATTCCGTAACATAATAAAATAATTAAATTATCGCACGAGCAGCCCGTTCTTCATACAGTGCTTGTTGACGATTGATACCTAATTCTGGCAACCAATGATGATCAGCAATAAATAATGATTTTATAGCTTTTCCAGTTCCATAAGCTTTTAAAATATGAATTATCATAGTGATAATGATAACACTTAATGGAAGAAATGTTATCACAGTTAAAGCAATTATATCACTGAAAATGAAAAAAAAAAAATTCAATCAAAAAAAAGCATTGAAAAATTAAAAACTGAAATTTCTTTTTTGATTTTTTTTTTTCTTGTTAAATCTAAACATTTATAATAAACATGAAATAATCGTAAAAACTTCAGAATTACGTTTTTTTTTCTATAACTTTTTACAAATTTTACTTACAAGAATTTACTACAACGTAAATATACTACGGTATAAAATTTATGAAAGTATTAAATTTTTGCATAGTAATTTTTGACTTAAACAAATTTATCTTTGATTGAAATTATCCTATTAATATAATGAAAAATTATTTTTGTACATTATTGTTATACCAAAACAAATTGTTATGCATTTAGTTTTTAATTAAAATTTTGCAACTGGTTGTTTTTTTTTTTCTCGTATTTTCAAGGAAGGAAATTATCAAAAAATTAATTTTATAATAACCTGTATAATCTTCCACTAATGATAATAAATAAAGCAAGTCCACCCGAAATCTGAAGATAAATAGTAAATTTTAAGCAAAAAAAAAAAGCTCTAAATTTTTTTTCTTTTTTTAAATCAAATGATTACTCAAAATTTACTAAAATTGAAAAAGAAAAAAAGTAAAAAAAAAAAATCTTACAATGCAAAGTGCAGGTGTAATAATATACCAACAAGCAGTCCAATACAAATTTACCGGATAACCCAAATATCTAAAAATATTTTTTTTATTTTTTCTATTTCTTCTACATTCAAAAAAAAAAAAAAAATTATCAGTTGATAACAACTGATAATTTGTCCAATTATCAATTAATAGCTACATAATCCAGTGCAAATTTACCGGATAACCCAAATATCCAAAAATATTTTTATTTCTTTTATTCCTCCTACATACAAAAAAAAATTATCAATTGATAACAACTGATAATTGTCCAATTATCAATTAATAGCTGCATAAATATAATAATTTATGCATTCAGATTTTTGATAAAGGATTTTTGAAAAAAAAAAGATAACGAATTTTACTAAAATTCAAGAAAAAAAGTGAAAAAAAAAATACAAAATGTTAGTGCAATAATAATGTATCAATAAGCAAAACAATAATATGTATAAATAATAAATTTTAGTTTATTGAAATTTCCAATTTTTTCTTTTCAAAAAATTTTTTTTCCTAAATTATTGAAATTTTTTTTTCACCTCCAAAAGTTATTTGGTGGTTCACCAAGCATTGTATGCAAATTGACAATTAATCGTTTGAGATGGTAAATATGAATGCATGCTAATAGCTCAAGAAATGCAAGTATTGTAAGAATAAGCGAGAAATAAAAGTAACGAACTCTTATATCACCAAAAGCCTAAAATAATGATTAATATAATTGTTAAAATTAATAATAGATCTATAATCTTAATAAATAATTAAATAAGTTTTGATGTTAATTTTGAGAAAGAGTTAAGTAATTCAATAATATGACGAATAATTATTTATGATTAACTCTTATATCACCAAAAGCCTAAAATAATGATTAATATAACTGTTAAAATTAATAATAGATCTATAATCTTTATAGACAGTTGAAATAAATTTTGATACTAATTTTGAGAAAGAGTTAAGTAATTCAATAATATGATATGCTATGCAAATAATTATTTATGATTAATAAAAAGTAAAATTAATGGAACCTAAAGTAAAATATGAATGACTCGGAAAATATTAATGAAAAAGAAAATGAAATTAAATCAATGGCAAAATCTCATTTTATAAATACATTTATAAATACAGTTATAAATAATTTTTAGAAATGAATGTAAAAAAAAGGAATAAATTGAAATTGATTTATAAAATGAAATATTAATTATAGTTGAAATTTTTAGCATTAAAAATATCATTGAAATGGAAAAAAAAAAAGTATATTTAAACTTACTAATCGACCATATATATAAGTGTATAAATGCATCAGTAAGAAATATACACAAATGATAATATTTCGAGATGTTTCTTGATTGATAAATTTAATTCGTATTACAGTTCGATATACACTCATAATGATCATTTCAATTACTACTACCTACAGTATCGTTTACCGTAGTACTTACAGTATTTTTTATCACAATTGCAAACATTATCACTCATAATTTTTAATTTGATGTATATTATTAATTTAAAGATTACCAATAAATAAGGACTGAAAATATTTCTTTTAATACCAGTATAACCTCGGTATCTTTTACCGTAGTACCTACAGTTTTTTATCACAGTTGTAATCACTATCACTTATCATTTTTAATTTGATGCATATTATTAATTTAAAGATTACAATAGATAAGAACTGAACATATGTCGTTCAACATTAATGTACCTACAGTATCTTTTACCGTAGTACTTACAGTATTTTTTATCACAACTGTAATCACTATCACTTATCATTTTTATTTTGATATATATTATTAATTTAACGATTACCAATAAATAAGGACTGAGAATGTTTCTTTTAATATTCGTATAACTTCGGTATCTTTTACCGTAGTACCTACAGTTTTTTATCACAGTTGTAATCATTATCACTTATCATTTTTAATTTGATGTATATTATTAACTTAACTTATTAGATTACCAACAGATAAGAAGTGAGCATATGTGATTTAATATTAGTAAGATGAACTAATTTTTAAATAATTGTTTAATATATTAATGTCTAGTAAAACTAATTTTTAAATAATTATTTAATATATTAATTTATTTTGAAAAAAATATATTTTCTAAGTTTTTTCTTTTGGAATTAGATAATTCAAAGTGTAAGTCATACTTACTTGTATGCCAATTGTGCATAAAAAAAGTGAAAAGAATGTAAGTGAAACTAAAATTGCACCAAATAAAGTTTTAGCAAAAAGTAATGATAGCATAATGAAGTATATATTTTCGCCGTGTTTCCAAAGCATTGCTACTAAATTAATGAAATATTTTGCAAGCAATTAATTTTGATACTACTTATATGCTAATTATCTTTAATCATAATATTTTGCTGTAACAATAATAATGGATGTTTACATACATTGTAGGCATATTAATTTTTGAACTATTTTGATTTGCTACCAAATTAATCAAATTGATCCACTAATTGATCAATATGAAAAAAATTGTATTTTTGTATAAATTAAATTAAATATAGATTTAAAAAAAAAATTGCATAAATTGTATTCTATTGTTGTAAGAATTTACTTATTCTCATTTTATATTAATCAGTAATTTTATTTTTCTTTTTTTTTTAAAAAAAATAACACTTGATAATCGCTTAATCTATGCTTATCAAAAATAAATAAATAAAATTAAACTTTTCAAATTAATCTTTTCTTTTTTTTTTTTGCAAAGAAAGAAAAGAGGAAATGAAATGATATGAATAATTTTTCATTAATTTAGTTTTTTAAGTAAACAAATATATATATATGCTTACATCCTTTTCCAACACTCATTGGAAACATCAAGCTAACAGCAGCACCACCTACAGAGAATACAAAAAAACAACCAAATAGATTAATTATCATTCCATAAATAATTACCAGAAATGTATCACTAAAATATTTATGATATGATAAGATAAGAGTTTTAGTTAATTAAAAAAAAATTAAAAATGTTTCTATAATATTTTCACTTTTATTATAAATTTTAGATTCATACAATGTACAGAGTGTAGTTTATAAAACTTTTTGTTTCAGATATAATATCAATTGAACATTCTAAGTTTGCTTAAATATTTGAGTACTGATATTATATTAAATATTTCGAGTTCTGATATTATATTATATTAAATACTTCGAGTCCTGATATTATATTAAAATTAAATATTTCGAGTCCTGATATTATATTATATTATTGATATTGTATTAAGTTTTCCGAGTCGTGATATCATATTAAATATTTCTTATCTTTAAATAAAACTAAAATATATAATCAGTATATCATTATCAACAATTTAAATATATTTTATTTAATGATAATTGATAGAGAAAAGAAAAAAAAATTGCACCGCATGAAATTATTCCGGAATTCCTTCATTGCTGCTAATGTTATACATGTTCCATCTAATATATTTGTTGTTATTATAGCCAAAAATGAGAAAAAAAAATTAATATCAACCGGTTTTTTTTTAATTTTTTTATTTCTACCAATAATATTAATTTTAAAAAAATTATTATTAATTAAACAATAGTAGTAATTATTATTTATAACAATAATAATGGATGTTTATGTTTCTATTTATGTAAAATTTAATGTTATTATTTTTTATTCAAATATTTAAGTAATAGTTGAGTAAAATACTTATTAAATCTAACTTATCCTATTAATTTGTAATGATTCTAACATTAACATTATTGTTTCTTAATTCGTTTTTAAAAAAATTTGAACCAAAATTGTATTTTTTTAATAATTTATTAATTTTCATTTTTTTTTTTTTTGAATTTAATTAGCTTATAGAAACAATGACAGAGAAAATTAAAATTTTGAATTTTGTTTTTGCATAATATCTAAGTAATTCTTGAATAATTTTGCTATGAAAAAAAAAAAAAAGTTTGCAAAAATGTTTGTTAAACATTTTGCGCAAAGAAAAATGGCAAAAGATTTGTTTATTTTGGATTTATTTATCATCGAACTTACACTTTTCCATTTTTCTTTCTTATCAGAATAATTTAATTTCGCATTTCATTTTAAAATTGCTCGGAGAATCAAAGAGAAAACCTGAAGTGCAGCAGTGATCCAAACTTTTAGATCGAAAAATTTTTCCGGATCCGGCGAAAAGCCTTCTGCTATTGAAGCAAGCGTATTTTGAGAGCCAGCTTTAGCAGTTGCATAAATAATACAAATTAGCATGCAAAGTTGCGGAAATATTACAACAAATCGAGCTATCTAAAACAGAGGTCAAAGGTTGCAAAATTAGCTGAAATGAAATGAGCTAAAATTTTACTTTAAATCAAAATAATTTGCTTAAAACTGGGAGAAAATTAAAGATTGAGATTTGATTCGATCTAATAAAAAATTAATTTAAATTAAATTCAAATTAAGTTAAATTTAAATTAATACTTTAGCATAGAAACGTATTCCAAGAATTACAATTACAGCAATGATTGCTTGCTCAATAGATGCCGAAACGATAAAAAATTCACTTATATTTCCAGCTTTATTAATTTTCTCCATCCTAAATATTAAAATTTTAAATTTTTAAACATTTAATTTTTTTAAAAAAAATATCGATGATAAAAATCAAAATTTAATTAAATATTTTTTATATTTAATTGAATAGTTTAAATCACTTAATTTCATATGAAATATTTATCAATCAGTTCTATCATACCAATAAATATTTGGTGGAAATTCACGAAGTGCTTCAGAAGTTGTTGTTAATGCTATTACAACTTGTTCCCATGTATAATTTGAATTTTTTAATACTTGATCATCATTTTTAAAATTATAACATTTTGAGTAATATTGATAATTACCAATTGCTTCATTACATTTTACATATGGATCATAACAAGATGCTGAAAAAAAATTTTTTTTGCATAATAAATTGATGATTATTTTGATTGGAATGATTAGTTCGATAATGAATTTATTATTAATATTACTTTGAAATGATGTCTATCTTTTCTTTAAAAAAAAAAAAAAGGATTTTAATTTATTAATTTAATTCAATAAATAAAAAGAAATGCAAGATTTTATTTGAAATGATACTAAATAGATTATTAACATATATCAAAAATAAAATTAAATAAAGAAATTGTTGAATTTATTATTTCAAATTTAATTTTAGCTAAAAATTTGATTGATTTAAAGTTTGTTTATTAATATATATTAATATTTTTTTATATATATATATATATATATGCAATAATGAATTTATTAATATTATTTTGAAATGAAATCTATCGTTTTTTTTAAAAAAAAAATTTTTAAATTCATTAATTTGATTTGGAAAATTAAAAAGAAATACAAGATTTTATTTGAAAACATATATCAAAAATAAAAATAAATAAAGAAATTGTCGAATTTTTTATTTCAAATTTAATTTTAGCTGAAAATTTGATTGATTGAAAGTTTTTTTATTAGTATATATAGTTAGTTTTAAATAGCACACATGAAAAGCAATAAATAGCAACAAAATAATACCAAATTACTTAAGCAGAAATTAGCAGACAATATAAAATTTAATTTTCAAAAAAATATAATTAATTTAAAAAAAAAAAAAGAGAAAAAGAAAATTACAATGACTTTCGTAAACACATTCCAACCAGGTACTTTGTGATAAGGAACTGAATACAGTAGTAATACTTTTAAATGTATGGAAGATACCTATTACGGAATATGATAATATAAGACTTTTGCAAATTGCTACTAATAACATTGCAATACCAATTCCTGAAATGTAAATGGTAGGAGAAATTCCTGAAATGTGAACAGTGAAAGAAAATCCTGATATTTAAACGGTAGGACGGTAGGAGAAATTCTGAAATATAGACGGTAGGAGAAATTCGTGAAATGTGAACTGAAATGTAAACAGTAGAAGAGATTCCTGAGTGTAAGCGGTGGGAGAAATTCCTGAAATTTAAATAGTGGAAGAAAACGGATCCAAACAATTACGGAAGCATACTGCTGAAGTGTTTAGCTAAAGAAAGAAACAGATAATATCAAATAATCTAATTAATATCATCATATAAATCAGATCAGGTTATGATGTTATTTCGAATTTTATGATCTAATTAATATCATCATATAAATCAGATCAGGTTATGATGTTATTTCGAATTTTATGATCTAATTAATATCATCATATAAATCGGATCAGGCAATGATCAAATTAAATGATCTAATTAATATTATATAAATCAGATCAGGTAATAATGATATTTCAGCTTAAATGATCTAATTAATATTATATTAATCAGATCAGATAATAATGATATTTCAAATTAAATGATCTAATTAATATCATCATATAAATCAGATCAGGTAATAATCAATTTAAATGATCTAATTTATATCATATAAATCAGATCAGTTAATAATAATATTTTAAAATAGCATTATGCATATTGTAGTAGATGAACAGATAAAACATAGATCAATTTATTTTCTTTTCTTCTCTCAATTTAAATAAAATTAAACTGTTATATTTTTTTTTTAACATTCTCAATGTAAAATTAGTAAACTTGTAAAGTTAACTAAATTTTTTTTTTTTGTCTTAAATTAAAGTAATACTGACGAATATTATATATAATTTTAATACTGAAATTATATTTTAATACTGAAAATAAATAATACTGAAAAATACTAACCTTCGAATGCAGGACAGATGTGACAAAAAAGTTTTATTGATGGAAGCGAACTATACTGACCAATTGCATTCTCCAAGTACATAATTGGCATTGTAATAAAAATAAGACATAACACATATGGGATAAAAAATAAGACTAAAATATAAATAATAGAATTAAAATTGAAATATTAAAGTATAAATTGAAATGTACAAAATTTAATTAAAGGTTTACAAAAAAGCGAATTTAAATAAAATACAATTGAAATATCAAATTTTAATTGTTTTATATATAATATATGAAAATGTTTGCATATTTTTTATTTATAGGTAAAAATATTAAATTAAATTATGCAAATCGAAATTAAATTGAAATATTAAAGCATAAATTGAAACAAAAATTGAAATTTGAAAATTTTAATTAAAAAAACAAAAACAACTGAAATATCAAAATTTAATTGTTTCATATATAGAATATATTTGCATAATTTTTATTTTTATGTAGAAGTATTAAATTAAAATTTATGTAAATTGAAATCAAATTGAAATATTAAAGAATAAATTGAAACAAAAATTGAAATTTGCAAAATTTAATTAATGGTTTACATAAGTGAATTTAAATAAAATACAATTGAAATATCAAAACTTAATTGTTTTATATATATTTGTAATATATGAAAATGTTTGCATATTTTTTATTTATAGGTAGAAATATTAAATTAAATTATGCAAATCGAAATTAAATTGAAATATTAAAGCATAAATTGAAACAAAATTGAAATTTGCAAATTTTAATTAAAAAAATAAAAAACAACTGAAATATCGAAATTTAATTGTTTCATATATAGAATATATTTGCATATTTTTATGTAGAAATATTGAATTAAATTATGTAAATTGAAATTAAGTTGAAATATTAAAGCATAAATTGAAACAAAAATTGAAATTTGCAAATTTTAATTAAAAGTTGACATAAGCGAATTTAAATAAAATACAATTGAAATATCAAAATTTAATTGTTTTATTTTATAAAATATATAAAATATGTGAAAATCTTTGCATATTTTTCATTTTAATATGATTGATTAATAAATTTTCAATTAAATTTATAATAAATAAAAATGAAAATTTGATTACTTCCACCACTTTCTGAGCAAATAACCGGAAAACGTAGTATATTGCCAACGGTGACAAGAAGAGATAAGGTGACAAATATGTGATCAGTACGATTGATGAAACGAAATGTTGTTTGATTAAATTGTTGTCGTATTCGTTGTATCTAACAAATACCTTTATTATTACCTTTTCAAATTTTATCTTTTAAAATATTTTATATCAAAGGAAAAAAGCATAAAAATGAAATAATTGAATTTAAAAAAAAAAAACTAATTAATATATTTATTTCATTTAAGAAATGATTCATTTAATTAATTAATTGTTTATTTAATCTAGAATTTGTATCCAACTTACAACAATGTTTACTCTTTTAACAAACTAATAATTTAAAATAAACAATGCAAATTTTTTTGTTTGAACTATTATTATCAAATCAAGAATTCCTAAAAATAAAATAAGAATGGAAAACCGGAAAAAAAATTACATCATAGTTAAAGATTCCGGCAAATTGTTCCACTTCTGTTGCTTCATATGTATTCTTGGTAATATTTTCAAATCGTTCCGAGTGACCTTTTCATAAAGTCATTGATTTTTAAAGTTTTATTAAACTAACAAAATCTAAGATAATTCTTTTTTTTTTGTCGAATTAATCAATTAATTAGAAAATTGAAAATTTTTGAAGAATTTTGAACAAAAATTGAAGCAAATTAGAAATTGATTACTCTAATTAATTATTAATTTTTTAATAAAGTCGAAAATTGTTCACTTAGTTTCTCGAAAAAGTTTATAAATATCTAATTATAAAAACTAAAAACGGAAAAAACTTAGTTTGATATTAATATATTTGTATATTTCATATTGATTGATCAAATTGATTTTATGAATGTTATAAATTATTTTGTATATTTTATATTTAAATTATTTTTTGTTTATATAAATTATTTGTTTACATATTTCATATTGATTGATCAAATTGACTTTATGAATTGCAGATCAAATTTTTTCACCTTTTATCTTCCTCCATGATACTAATTTTTGTTTTTCTTCATTTCTTGCTGCTATTCTGGTTGACATTATTTTTCAAAATTTTTTGATCTAAAAAAATTTTGTTTTAAACTTTTTAAAAATATTAAAATTTTTCTACATAAATTACAAGAAGTTTTACTTTTTTTTTTTTTTTTAAGGAAAAATCACTCTGTGTTTAAACTTAATTTATTAAAATGAATTAAAAATAAAATTGTAGTGGAATTTTATAATTGAAATAAACAATCTTTCCACTTATATTTTTAAAATGATAAATAAATTAACAACTTTTAGTTGATAAACAACCGTCCGTAATGCTTTAAATCGATTAATTGTTGTTGATTAATATAATTTACAATTTTACAAGTGAAAAAAAATTATGCAAATGAATGAATTTTTAGATATGCAAATATATTTTCCATTGTACTCGAAATTAATTACATAAAAATTAAAAATGAAATATTTAATTAATTACATGGAAAGAGAAGCAAAGCAATTTAAACAAAGTGAATTTGACTATGTGTTTGTGATTCATTGGTTAATTTATATTTCATTAATCTAATCATTTAAATATTTAAAAATAGAAATTAATTAGCTTATTTGAAAAAAAAAAATTAGCATTTGCTTTTCAGAATGTATTTTTAATCATTTCAAAAATAAATAAAAAAAAAAAACGTAACAATTCGATGAATAAATTGTTATAAAAATATTTGTAGGCATGTATATTTGTTTGTTTATTAATTTAATTTGTCTTTTTTTATTGATTTGTTGTAAGTAAATTTAACAAAATAAGGTTAACATTAAAGCTTAATTTAAAATAAATTCCAAATTTTGTAAATTCCAGATTTAATTATTGATTTATTGTAAATAAATTTAACGAAATAAGAAAAAATTAAAGCTTAATTTATAATAAAATCCAAATTTAATTTGTTTTTTTTTTATTCATTTATTGTAAATAAATTTAACAAAATAAAATAAACATTTAAACTTAATTTATAATAAATTCCAGATTTAGTTTGTTTTTTATTCATTTGTTGTAAATAAATTTAACAAAATAAGAAAATCGTTAAAGTTTAATTTAAAATAAATTCCAAATTAATTAAAATTGATCACAAATAAAAGAAAACGAAAATAAAAAATATACTAGAAGAGTAAATGATATTTATCTATGCATGCATACTTACTTCTATTGCTATCTTTTTTTTTTGTTTTTGTTTTTTAACTAGTTTTTAATTTTTCTTTTTTTTTTTAATGTCATTTTGTATTTACTAATTTTTAGTTTTATTTTGCATATTTCTTTAAATTGCTTGGTATCAGGCATTTTTCGAATACTGCAAAATAAATAAATTCATTGCCGTCTATTTAAATTTATATTTTCTTGTAAATTAAGTAATACTATTCAAGTAGAAATGATAAATTATATTATTAATGTATTATTTTTCCTCTATTATCAAATAATTTTATTTTTTGCATTGTTTTTATTTATTTTATTTCTTTTTTGTCAAAGAATAATTGAACTATTGGTAATACTTTCACAAATCAATCAATCAATACAATATCGATATTTGCTTGTAATACTTTCACAAATCAATCAATCAATACAATATCGATATTTGCTTGTAATACTTTCACAAATCAATCAATCAATACAATATCGATATTTGCTTGTAATACTTTCACAAATCAATCAATCAATACAATATCGATATTTGCTTAAGTAGAAAAAAAAAAAAGTTTATCTATATTAACGTTAACAAACGAATTAAAATATGTTTATTAAAAAAAAAAGTTTATCTATATTAACGTTAACAAACGAATTAAAATATGTTTATTACAAATTAGCTATTTCAAATAAGTTAATTTATTTCAAATGTAATTTTAGACAAATTTTACAAAATTTTCAATTTGTAGAAATGACAAATTTTAGACAAATTTTATTGAATTTCATCTTTGCATTTAAATTTTTTTCATTTCTTTTGTTCATCGGAATTTTCAATATTTTTTAATGCTTTTTGCATTAATATACCAACGAAAAGCTATGTATAATTCAAATAGCATTATAAATTGAATTCCAATTATCGTAGAAAATACAATAAAATATGCAATTACTGAAATATAAATTAGAACTTTATTTTGTTAAGTTTTTTCAACTTTGAATGGATTAATTTTATTTTTTTCTTCTTTTTTCTTGGTACAATAACAAAAGATAGAAGAAGAAATTAAATTGAATTGTTTAAGTTGAATTATTATACAATTAACGGTAATGTATTTAAGTTATATAATACATTACCATTAATTTTTGCAGGAATAATATTTATGGTACAATAAATTAGGCAAACAATTATCAATAAGTTAATAATGATCTGAAATTTGAATTAACTTTATTGTATATAATATATTGATTTATGCGAAATCATCATATATAGAAGTACTCGGGAATAATTTTGGGTAATTCTTGTGATTAATTACTCAGAATTTGATCAAACAATGACAATAATGATAATGATAATAATACAATGATGATAATATTGATAATGATAATAATTATAATGTGATCAGAAATTAATAACCATGTAAAATAATAACTCATAGCTATGTTCAATTTTGTTGAAAGTTAAAAATGATGAATTTTTATTACTGATAATTGATTGAATTACAAATCGATAAACAAAAATATTTGCAACTAACCAAGTAAACAATAAATGGCCAAATGAGTAATGGCATCTTAAATATGTAAGCAAGTATAGCAAAAATTCCGGAAATCCATACCGGAAAAATAAAAATGAAATTGATTACATTATCAGTAAAATCGTCTGTAACTAGAAGTAAAATTTGTGTTTTAACTGCTGTAAATATTGTGATAGCTGCTATAGTCAACATCCAAATCTGAAAAATTTCTTTTCATTTAGCTTTATCTTATTGAAGAATTTATTTTAGATTCAGCAATGTTTATGCAAATTAATAATCTAATACCTTTAATTTTTAAATAATATTAAAAAACAAAACAAAACAAAGAAAAAAAACCACTAAATTTTGATAGTTCAAAGAATTTTCAATTCTATTTTTCAAGACAAACATTGATATTGCAGCAACAGAAGTATTGTTTCTTCAAATCAAGATATTTTTCTATTTTGGCTAAAATATTAAATTCAAAAAAAAAAAAGAAAGATTTTCAAAACTGAAAAATTTTATCATTTCATTAGTGAATTGGAATTTTTGCTATGCGATCTTGGTATGTTAGTTTCGAATGTTAGAAATGTTCGATGTCGAGAATTTGATTTTAGCTTTGGAAATTTTAAACTTTTGAAAATTTTTATCCATAACTAAAAAAGAATTAAAAAAAAATGTTTCGTTGTAAACAACAATAAATTAATATTAAAATTACCAAACAAACTTTCATTCAAATTTTCCATTTCATTTTTCTCTTCTGCAACATTTTTAGTATTTGCAAAATTTTGCGACATCATTTCCACACCATTTACTTCATTTTTGCTATCAAATTGACCGCTTTCTAATGATTCCATTTTAGCAATTTATATTTACACTTGTTAATTTAATAATTTTGTTTCTTTTTTTTTTTTTTTGTAGTTGTTGTTAAGTATTACTTGTTTATATGTAAATTAATGCAATTATACATCAATGTCATTATGTATATCATGAATATGATTAGGAATGATTTAAATATTTCACATCATTGAACTCTCAACATTTCAGTCTTTTGAAACGAATAATCAGTAATAATTAAATTGGATGATTATCATTTTAAAATTTTGAATTAATTATCAAGAAAAAAAGGCATAGTTGAAAATTGCTGTAATTAGAATAGAAACGAAAATTTTGATTTTGTTATAAAAGTAGATATTTAAATAAACTGTTATTATTAAATGTTAGCACCAAATATTTTTCATATTTATTTAAATTTTTTGTTCGAATATTAAAACTTTGAATTATTTAGTTAATACATCATACCTTAACATTAGCAATTTCTTAGCAGATATTACAAAAATATAATGTATTAAAAAACAATAGGATAATTAATAAGATCCTATAATATTATTTATTCTTTCTTTTAGTCTTCAAGACATACCAGAACAAAGATAACATTAATCGGATGCATTTTTCATTGTATTCATAATCCAAAAAAATAATAAATTAAAATAAAAAGAGAAAAAAGAAAAAACAATAGATATAATCAAATGATTATCTTAGTAAATATCATAATATTAAATTCTACAGATCAAGTGAAATTGCTTTGCAACATTGAATTAAAAATAGATGATGATCAGAGTTGTCGAAGGCCTGTTCGTTGTAGCATTGCATCATCCAAATCTACTGGTTGCTCTTGCTGCGGTATATAGTATACTGTAATTTTTTTACCGTATAGTTGTAGTTATCAGTATAACATAGCATATTATTTACTGCATAGTTATATTTCTCAGTATAATATATCATATTATATCGCACAATATTAAATTATTAATATTTTAACTGTTTGGCATTACTATTTAGCATTACTGTAACACACAGTGTCGATCGAAATGATACGGTACTTGATTTGGTTGGGATACTGTAGTTGCTAGTTGTACGAATTATTTGATTATGATATAGTAGATTCTAATTTTTGAAATAATGTAAAATTGGATGACAAAAAAAAAAAAACAAAGTTTGTTATAGTCTTACAAATAGTGGTAAACATACCAGAAGAATGATGATATTGATCTGGTTGATATGATTGAATGCCAGTTCTTGGATTAAACATTTGAGCTTGATTATCAGCAGTAGCACTTGTTGCTTGTAATGAAGGTGAAAGAATAGGAAATGGAGTAGCTACCGTAAATTCAGGTGAAATTACTAATGCACCTGCTGGTGCTAAAGTTGCAAAACTTGCATTATGATAACCAAGTTTTGCCATAAATTCTTCAAATGATGTTAATGGCCTTATTGTAACTTGATTGCTAGGAATTTGATTACCTGAAAATAATTTTTCACTTTTTCTAACTATATATAATTTCATTCAATGAAAATCTTTTCTTTTTGTTCACCATCTTAAAAAATAGAATGCTTGTTTGTTTCTTGAGAATTTGAAATTTAGTAAGATTTTTTAAAAAATAAATAAATATAATTATCATATTTATGAAAAACTAAACGACTTTTTACTTGAAAATGAAAAATTTATATTTATAAGGAAATAAAAAAAAAAATTGTATGGTGTTAACCGGATAAAAGCATTGGTCTTCCGGAAAGTTGTTGTGTTGGAATTGCGTTTATTGCAGGTGTCGTAAGAGTATGTGTTATTGGAGCAATTGATAGTGGCATAAATCTACCGTTCGAGTTAACATTTCTTTTAGCACCAGTTGTATCAAAATATGATGGTGAATTGAATGAAGCAACATGATCAGAATTAGATTGATCAAAATAATTGGGAATAGATTGAAATGATTGTTGAGAAGGTGAAGAGACAGGAACAGGTTGATATAGTGGTTGTGGTGGTGGTGGAGGTGGTGGTGGTGGAGCTGCAGTAGGATAAGTATTGGTTATAAATGGTTGAAAAGGTTGTGGCTTCAAAGTTGGAAAACCTGGTAATGTTGGAAAAGTAATTGGGAAAAGTGTAGGAAATCCTAAAACTGGATTTAAGCCTTGATTACATTGATTTAAAAAGCATGGTGTTTGTTGACATTGTGTTGTGCATGGTTCATGATTCTGATTTTGTCCTGGTTGAATAATTTGATTCTGATTTTGTCCTGGTTGATTAATTTGATTCTGATTTTGTCCTGGTTGATTAATTTGATTCTGATTTTGTCCTGGTTGAATAATTTGATTAGTTCCTTGTTGCTGAACAGAACCAAAAGCAAAATCATTTTGTTGTAATGGTAGCTGTGGTATTTGTTGACCAAACATATTTACCTGTTGTTGACCAAATGCTTTTGATTCACCACCTTGTGCTATTAGATGACTAGCAAAATTATGATTGCTATCATCCGAGAAATTATTGTTATCAGAATGATCTGAATCAGTTTCCAATTTACGATTGCTTAATGGAATAGCTAATGATTGAGCAATATTTGGTTTTAATGTTATTTCTGCTTTAACATCAATTTCTTTTCGCTTCTGCATTGCATCATTTCTATTCATCATCATAGTTGTTTTCAAATTTTCCTTTTCTTCAATTTCAATTCTCCTAAATGATAAGTGATGAATTTGTTTTTGTTTTTTTTTTTTTTTCCTTTCTATTACTAATTTAATGTCTAGAATTTTTATTAATTTATTTATAAATATAATTAATTATATCAATTTTTCTTAATTTTAGCTATTTGTTTATTGGTACAAAAGAAAAAAAAATGATACTATGATTATATTGATATGTTGATAAATTAGAATGATAACAATTTTAAATTCTAATGAAATTGAAATTTAGTTAGAGGAAAAAAAAAGAAAAAAAAACAGAAAGAAACTGCTTTACTTGTATTGTTTTTTCTCGTCAATTTTGTGAAAACCATTATCTGTCAATGTTTTTTCCCTTGTAATTCATCCAATTTTTCCTTTTTCAATGATTTCTCTTTTCGAAAAGTTGAAAGGTCGGTTCCTTTTGTCAATACTTTCACTATCTCATCACTAACATCCTTTTTGACTGTAATATCACATATGGATTATTAGTGATGAAAAATAAAAGAGAGTAGAAGAAAAGGAAAAACAAAAGAAAAATTTGGAGTAAAATTTCAATTACAATAAAAGAGAAAAGTTAACATTCTTCTTTACAACTTTTTTTACATTTCTTTTTTTTTTTTTTCCACCTTTAGTTTGATTAAGATTGAAATTTCACGATAGGGTTAAAATTTAAAATTGGGTTAAATTTTAGAACAGGATTTTATGATTTTAAATTTGAACAATTCTTAGCTATGATATAAAAGAGAATGAAGAATTCATACGTAGAGTGAGATCCATTTTACAATAATCATAAATAGATCAAATTGTCAACATAATATGATCATTGTTAGAATGAAATGAGAATAAATTGAATTTCACTTGCACCTATTTATCTGATCTATCTAGCCATCTACCTATCTATTTGATCTATCCATCTGTCTTTTTATCTCATCTGTCTACCTATCTGATCTATTCATATATCTGATCTATCTGATCCATCTACCTATTTGATCTATCTGATCTATTTATTTGATCTATCCATCTGTCTGATCTATCTGATCTATCTAATCCATCTACCTATTTGATCTATCCATCTGTCTGATCTACCTGATCTATCTAATCCATCTACCTATTTGATCTAACTGATCTCTCTGTCTATCTGATCTATTTATTTGATCTATCCATCTGTCTGATTTATCTGTTCTATCTAATCCATCTACCTATTTGATCTATCTGATCTCTCTGTCTATCTGATCTATTTATTTGATCTATCCATCTTTCTGATCTATCTGATCTATCTACCTATCTGATCCATCCATATATCTGATCTATCTAGTCCATCTACCTATTTGATCTGCCTGATCTCTCTGCCTATTTAATCTATCCATCTGTCTGATCTATCTGATCTATCTAGTCCATCTACCTATTTGATCTTTCTGATCTCTCTATTTAACCGATTTATCTATCTGATCTATCCGTCTGATCCATCTATCTACCTGATCTATTTATTTACCTATCTATCTATCTATCTAATCTATCTCTATTCCTAGTTAAAAATATTTTATTTATCCAATTAGATTTTTAGGATAAATGCCCCGATTATATCTCATTTTCTACAGGGATGCTATTAGTAATAGAATAGAACATGTATGTATGCATGTGTGTGTTTGTATGTGTATGTACATGTATGTGTATGTATGTGTGTATATATTATGTGTGTGTTTGTATGTGTATGTGCATGTATGTGTGTGTATGTGTGTATATATTATGTGTGTGTTTGTATGTGTATGTACATGTATGTGTATGTATGTGTGTATATATTATGTGTGTGTTTGTATGTGTATGTGCATGTATGTGTGTGTATGTGTGTATATATTATGTGTGTTTTGTATGTGTATGTACATGTATGTGTATGTATGTGTGTATATATTATGTGTGTGTTTGTATGTGTATGTGCATGTATGTGTGTGTATGTGTGTATATATTATGTGTGTGTTTGTATGTGTATGTACATGTATGTGTATGTATGTGTGTATATATTATGTGTGTGTTTGTATGTGTATGTACATGTATGTGTATGTATGTGTGTATATATTATGTGTGTGTTTGTATGTGTATGTACATGTATGTGTATGTATGTGTGTATATATTATGTGTGTGTTTGTATGTGTATGTGCATGTATGTGTGTGTATGTGTGTATATATATGGATAAAGTTTCTAAAATTTTTGATTTTCCGTACAGATAAACAATTCATTCATTGAAATGAGGAAATGAAGAGAAATTTTGGCAATGTGAAAAATTAGTAAACGACTAACAGTCAACAACTGGTTCCGGTGGATCCGGTAAACAATGCATTCGCCGTACCGTTACTTCATATGAAACACTGCAAAAATTTTTACCATTTTAAATTAAATATAAAATATTTTTGATATTACAAAAATTAATTAATACTTCTGCATTTATTACAAAAACAATTTTATAATTTTTCCACATTCGTTTAAAAAAAATGATAATTAATTAGCAATTAATTGATTAGCAAATAATATTTTTAGACTTAATCATTTGGCTAGCATTCCAATAAATTTGAGAAATTTGTAGAAATGTTGTAAAATTGATAAATCTCGAGAAAGTTTTTTTTTTTTTTTTTGAAACAAAATATGCAGAATTTTTGCTCGAAATCTTTATCAATCATATAGCATTTTTGCTCGTCTAAAAGTTTAAAATGCTAAATGATAAATTAACATAAAATTAATATTTTTTTTTAAAAAAAAATGATAAATTAATAGATAGCATAATTTTGTTAGAAAAGTTATTTTTATTACAAATAAAAAAATTTGTAAAAAATGTGCAAAATTCTTGATGTAAAACTTTTATTTATTTATTTTTCCCTCTCTCTCTCTCTCTTCAACAAGAAAATTAAAAGTAATTGTTATTGAGAAAACAAATGAAATCATACAAAAATAATTTAAAAAAGTTTTTCTTTTTTTTTTTTTAAATGATTTATTACAATTTAATGTTTACATTTAAATGTAAGATGTCATTTTAATTTGAATTTGAATTTGAATTTTTATTTTTCTAATCATTGCATATAATTAGAAATGAATTAAAAACTAACATATGTGTATTAGCATCTACTACTTTTCGAGCATTTGCTATCACATCAAAACTTATCTGTCGCCCATCCCTAATTACTTCACCACCGGTAATTGCTTCACCTGGACCAACATTTGTTATGCCAACCTCTTGCGAAAATCGCAATCCGGGAAATGTACAGCATTGTAGGAGTAATCTATAAATTAATACATATGACAAATTTAGATGACATTTAATTTTATTATAGTAAACAAATGGGTAAATTAATTTTCAAAATGCATTGTTCACTAACAATAATAACGACAATTCGTTATAATTTGTTTGATTATTTTACTTCTCATTAAATTTTTTTTTAAACAAAATTAACAAAATTTCTCTTTCTCGCATTTTTTTTTTTTTTTTTTTTTTTCAGGTTAAATTCTCACGGTTGTCGTGGATGATCAATATATTCGATACCACCAACCCATTGATCTTTTCGTAAACATGACAGATCAGAAAATTGACCGGAACAATTCTACAAAATGTATTTAAACTTTTTTTTTTTAAAAAAAAGGAAGAATTTCTCAAAAATTTTACAGAAAAAAAAAAAAAATTTTTTTTTTTTTTTTTTTTTGATGGATAAATAATTGTTTGTTTAGGATGAAAAATTTTCAAAAATTTATTTGTTTTAACATATTGGATGCAAATTTTTTAGAGTAACTTGTTTAAATAATTCATTTATAAAATTGAAATAAAAGAAATATATTCAAACAATCAAAATCTGAAATAATTTCATTCAAAATATTTAAACTTGAAATAATTCATTGTAATTTGGTATTGATAAGATTAATCATCAGACTTGTAATAATTTCATCAATTGAAAATAAATATTTCATTCAAACACTGTATAAAATTTTTATATAATTTAAATTTGGAATTCAAAATAATACCATTTTTTTTTTTTTTCATTAATTCAAGTCGTGTTTTTTTTTTGAAATTCAAAAAAAAAATTTTTTTTACAAATAGTAATAAATTTTTAAATTAAAATATTTTAAAATTAAAATTAAAAAACATATGGCATAAAGCTTACTGCCATTAGTTCACTTATATATACATATAATTCACTTATCTTTTTTTGCAACTAATAGAAAATTTTAAATTAAAAAATTCTAAAATTAAAATTAAAAATATAAAAAAAAAAACATACAGCATAAAGTTTATTACCATACGGATCACCATATGCTTTACTATCTTTATCATCTTCACGCATAAAACCATCTGCTTGTCCATTTGCATTTACCAGAAAATTGCTATCATCATTTTTACCTTTTAAATTTCCCACACAGGTTGGTTGTGCACAGCCAAGTATTGGTGCACCTAAATAAGTAATTAATATAAGTAATTGATAAATTTGATAAAATTTTTTGATAAAATAATTGATAAAATTAATATAAGTAATGTTAATATAAGTAATTGATTAAATTATTATTGTTTAAAAAAAGGAAAGAAATTATTTCATACTTTTTCTTTTTTTTTTTTTTTTTTATTCTTTAAATTTAAAAATTTGATTAAAAATTTAAAAAACAAACCTGAAGGTAGCACTTCAAAACTAAATGGTACACCAGTTGAGCCACAAAATGATGCAAATATTTGATATGATAAAGTGGAAATGAGTAATAGATAGAATAATTTTTTCATCCTGGTTTTATTTTTTTTACTTTTTTTTTTTAAAATAATATTTTAAATTTTAATAAATCAAATTTTTATCACAGTATTTTCACTTGACGATATTATTATCATTTAATATTATTTTTTTTTTTTTTTTGAATAAAAAACAAAAAACAAAAAATCATTAACATTGATAGAAATAGAAAAAAAAAAGTTAAAATGCGCTGAAAATTTAATTTAATTTTCATTAATATATCATTTTTCTTTTTTCTTTTTTTTAAATATATATGCTTTGCAATGTAAAATTGAAATTGAGGACATTTTAACTGGTCGATTAGTTTGTCACTGTAAAACTATCAAAAGAAATTTGCGGTACTTAGGAAATATTAATGGTGGTCATTTTCAAAAAAAAATTTGATTTAATTTTTTAAAAGAAAATTTGAACAATTGGTAAAAAATTTCAAGGGATGAAAAAAGAAGAGAAAAAAAAGAATTACAAATATATAAATTTTGGTATATTTAAATAAAATTAGTTTAAATAAATCACATTAAAAAAAACAAAATTAAAATTAAAATTAGTTTGAATAAATAAAAATTGATTACAATTTATAATTAATTTTTAAAAGGAAGATAAAAATTTTTGCGATAAATTTGTTGAAAATTTACTCTTTGTACTTCGAACTGGATTAAATCAACGATATATTTAATTAATTAAGAATTTAAATTAAATTTAAAAAGACTTAAATTCATGATATACAACAACAACCATAATATTATTATAAATTGATAAGATTATAAAATCTTAATTGTTTACTTATGTTTTTCTAATTTCTATTTATTATATGAAATTATTTTTATTTGTTTTTTTTTTTTTTTTTAATAAACGATAATTAACTTATTCCAGAGTAATTTCTAAAAAAAAAAATTTATGATAGATTTTAATAAACTTTTATAAAATAATTTAGTTTTTTTTTTTTCTTTTTAAATTTTCAATGAAATTTTATGAAAATAAATTGAATCATATTAATGATACTAAAAATTTAATACGAAATAAAGCATTAGATTGTTAATTTTAGACAAATTTAAATTTCAAATTTTTCCTTTTGTAGAGGAGAGAATTTTTGATTCTTATTTTTAAAAAAAGAAAATAAATAAAAAATATAATTCATACTTATTTCAAAGATGAAACTTCCATGAAAAGCAAAATATTAAAGGAAAAAAAAAACTTAATTTTCATATGAATTTAATTTGAATTTTTATGCATAATTAAATTTATGAATTTTTAATTACACAAATTTATTTTGTTAACTTAATGTATCTTTTATTCATCAATTTTTTTTTTTTTTTTTTTCATTTCTTTATTCGTATAATAATCTTTGTTAAAATATTTGATGAAAGTTTTTTTTTTAATTTATTCAATAACAAGTAGTTTTCACGAACAATAAGATTTAATATAACAGTAAGCAATTTTTAAAAATTATTAAAATACAAAAAAAAAAAAACTTTGCTAAAAAAACAAAATTTTTATTAATATTTAATTTACAAATGTTAAAAAACAAACATTTTTATTAATATTTAATTTATTTATAAATGTTAAAAAAAACCTGAATTTCATTAGAAACATTTCTAAATTTATTCAAATTTTTCTCTATCTAAAATTTCTTTTTCTCAATTTACTAATTTTTTTCCTGCTAACTTTTTTTTTTTTTTTTTTTAGAATTAATTGTATTAATTCATAAATCAGACAATTTCACATAAAAAATAAAAAAAAAGTCTCAATAATATTAAAAAAAAAAAATTCATTTATTAATTTTTGCAGCAAAAAATTTGTTTCTTATTTAATTTAATTAATTTTTTTTTTTTTTGTTTTTTTTTCAAATTAAAATTATTTAAAATAATCAATAAAATATTTTCAATTATAATTACTAAAAGCAAAAAAAAAAAAACGAAAGAAAAGAAAAAAAAGGTTATCCAAAGAGATAAATAAATGAATGAATAGTGAAAATGAAATTTGTTTGGTAGTGAAAGACATTCAATCTATTACAAATCGTTCTTGTCATACTTTTCGGTGTGTCACAAAAACTTGTATGTCACATTCTGTCTGTCCCATATGTATATCTTTGTGTATGTGTGTGTGTGTGTGTGTGTATGTGTATGTATGGATAATGACATACATACATATTCCTGGAATTATACGATTTTGATTAGGGATTGATGACAAAAGTTCGAGAAATGACAACGGAATGGTGACAATGATGACAAAATGCCAATATCCGTATTTTCTCTCTCAAGTTTCTTTTAAAAGTGTCATCTAATTTTCAATCAGTAAAATTATTGTTGACGATTGGAAAATAACGAATGAATGATAAACAATAAATAAATTTATATCAATTTTAAATGAATGATAAACAATAATTAAATTTATATCATTTTTTAAATGAATGATAAACAATAATTAAATTTATATCATTTTTTAAATGAATGATAAACAATAATTAAATTTATATCATTTTTTAATGAATGATAAACAATAATTAAATTTATATCATTTTTTAAATGAATGATAAACAATAATTAAATTTATATCAATTTTAATTTTTCATTTATTTTATTTAAAAGATATATTCAAAAAAAAAAAAAAAATGAAAAATTATAAATATATAAAATAAACTTATTTATTATTTAAAAATATTAGTATGGTGGATTTATTGATTTTTTAAATATAAATTAATAAATCGAATTAAAAAAAATGTAAATAAAAATTAATAAATGAATTACAAAAATGTGTAAATATGAATTAATAAATCGAATTAAAAAAATATGTAAATATAAATTAATAAATCGAATTACAAAAATATGTAAATATAATATACAAAATAAAATATACAGAAAGGTTTCAATTTTTCAATATACATTAAATATACAGAAAATGTTTCAATTTTTCAAATGCAGTACAGAAAAGTTTCAATTTTAGTGATACAAAATTAAAATATAATTTTAAAATTTAATTTGATAAGAAAAAAAAAAATGAAAAACAGAAAGAAGAATTAATTTTTAAATGTTTATAAATTAATAAATGAATTCAAATTCATTTTACATTCATTTATCATATTGTTGACGTTATTAAATTTATTTTTTTTTTTTTTTTTTTTTTTAAAATTTCAAAAATATTTTATATTTAGTTTATATTATCTTTTTAAAAATGAGAAATGATACATTTTATATTACTCATTCTTGTTTTTATAAAATTTTTTGATTTAAATTTATAATTTAAAGTATGTAAAACTGTTAGCATATTTTACTGAATTATTAATAAATCATAAAATTTGCATACATTTATAAATTATACACTTTTTTGTTTTTATTAAAAATTTTCATTAAAAATTATTCAAATTTAATTTAATCAAAAGTAATAATAATAAAAAAAAAAAAAACGAATCAATGATGGAAAGATTAACAATAAATATTAATGTTTTGTAAAGTATTAATCAAAAAAGTTTTTTTAAAAATTTTTTTTTTTTAAATTTTAAAAATCTCTTTAAAAAATCTTTTTATTCAAAACATTTTCTTTTCTTGACAATTTTTTTTTTTTTTTATATAAATTCTTAATAAAGTTTTAATTTTTTTTTCCTTTTTGATAAAATTAATCAAATCTGAGTGGAATTAGTGATAAATTATGAATTTCTCTGAAGCTAAGATAATTTAATATTTTACTGAAAAAATTGTTTTCTTAAATTTTACTGAAAAATTTGTTTTCTTAAATTTTCATGGAAAATTTTATTTTCTCAGACATTCATGTTGATCTGAAATTAATATTTTAAAAAACTGCAACATGATCAAAAAAAAATTAAATGTGAATAAAAATTGCTTATCAATTAAATATAATCAATTTATGATTTAGTAAAATGGATTTTAATTAAACTAAAATTAAAATTCATTTTTATGTTTCTAAAAATTTATTTTTCAAAACATCATATAAAATTTAAAAAATTTCAAAAATACATTCATTATCTTTGCCAATAATTTTCATTTTTTTTTTTAATTATTAATTAATTAATTGCTCATTATTTATCCATTAATCGTAATTTTCATTTTTGAATTATTAATTAATTATCCATTAATCATAATTTTCATTTTTTGAATTATTAATTAATTATCCATTAATCATAATTTTCATTTTTTGAATTATTAATTAATTATCCATTAATCATAATTTTCATTTTTTGAATTATTAATTAATTATCCATTAATCATAATTTTCATTTTTTGAATTATTAATTAATTATCCATTAATCATAATTTTCATTTTTTGAATTATTAATTAATTATCCATTAATCATAATTTTCATTTTTTGAATTATTAATTAATTATCCATTAATCATAATTTTCATTTTTTGAATTATTAATTAATTATCTATTAATCATACAACATGAAAAAAAGAAAACAAACAAAAAATGCATACATGAAAATATTTGAAATTATAATATTTCACTTTGCATATGAACTAATTAACATACAATTTAATGATTTAATCATAAGTATGATTAAAATTTAATTCAAAATGATAAAAAAAGAATGATAAGTGATAAAAGATTACAGTAATAGTTTGATATCAAAATATGCAAAAAAAAAAAAATACAGAAATCGAATAATCAAAATTACAATTAATTTTATCACACATAATTAATAACCATTTGCCTTTTTTTTTTCTATACCTATTCGATTATTAAATAAAAATTAAAAAAAAAATAATTTAAATTAAAATATACACAATAGCAAGAAAACTGGATTATAATACAGGTCACGTCACGTTTAAATTTGAAATAATTAATGTTATATAGTTTGTAATGATGCAATAATTTAAAAAAAAAAGTCATAAATTTGTTACGTTTCCAGAAAATTTTATAATGGAATACTAAAAATAATAATAATAATTTGATTATAATTTACAGTTTCAAAAAATTAATTTGTATGTATAAAAAATGCAAAAATTAAAAATAATAATAATAAAAATATGATAATCGATAATAATAAAAGTAATTACTATCACAATTAATTAATGTATTTCAAATGAAATTTTTTCTTTTTTGCTTTAATTATATATATGAATTTTAAAGATTTGAAATAAATATGAAAAACTGTATTGAATTAATCAAATATTAATGAAATTAAAAATTTAAAAAATTTTCCGTTTTTTTTTTTTTTTTTTTTTTTTGAGTGAAAAATCTTTATAACATTTGAATGTGTAAAAATTATAAATGAAATTTAAAAAATTTACATATGTGCAATTAAATTCATTTGCAAGGAAAATTTTTAACGTTTTTTTTTTAAATTTAAATTTATTAAAAAAAAAAAGATTGAAACAATTTGTGACAGCAAAGCATCAAATTTACAAAAATATAATTTTAAAAAAAAAAAATTTTTTTTTCATCAATTTAAAGATAAATTCGTTTGTTTGTTTATTTCTTTTTTCATGCAAATGAGAATTAAAAATTTATTTGAAAAAGTTTATTAATATAAAAAATTATTGTAGAATTATTTAATGTAATTAATTTCTTATTTACGCATTGCGCATTAATTCAAAAAATTTTATAAAATAATTCATTTAATTATATAATAATAAGAAATATTAACTGTTATTTATATTTTTTGCATTTGTAAAATTTTTAATTTTGATAACCTGAGGAAAGAATTCATTGACTAGAAATAATTTATTATTCAAATACTAAATTAGGATGATTAAAATCATAGAGAAAATTTTAAATAAAAAAGAAAAAATGTTTGTTTACTTGTTTATTATAACTGATTTTATTGATTAATCTAATCGATTTAATTAATTAAAAAATTAGTTAATTAATTAATTTCTTTTTTCAAAATAATGCTAATTATTTATTATTTCTTTCCTCATCAATTATTTTTGTCAAATAAAAAGTTATTATTTGTTGATGTTTCCAAAGATGATTGAATGCTTCTTTCTTCATTACTGAGATCATCGGTGACATTCTCATTAAGCAAAAATTTGTTATTTGTAGAAATTCCGGATGATCGTAAATTTTCACTATTAATTTCACTATAATCGATATGAGTCCAATCAGGTGAAAAGTTATTATTTGTAGAAATTCCGGATAATTGAGCTTTTTCACCAATGCTAAAATCATCGGTGTTACTTTCAGCAGGTGAAAGGTCATCATTTATGGAAATTTCAGATGATCGAATATTTTTGCTATTAGTATGATCATCGTTGATATTTTCATCTTGACGAAAATTTGCCAATTGTTGAAATTTCCGCATTTGATCGCAAATTTTCATCATTAGCAAAAGAATTCCGTATCAGATTTTCCGGAACGGTTGTTGTAACTGATAAAGATACATTTTTGGATACTGTATGATCATCAATTATGAAAGTATTATCATCGCTGATACTTTCATCTGACGAAAAATTGTCAACTGTTGAAATTTCCGCATTTGATTGCAAATTTTCATCATTAGCAAAAGAATTCCGGATCAGATTTACCGGAACGATTGTTGTAACTGGTAAAGATACACTGTTTGGATACTGTATGATCATCAATTATGAAAGTATTATCATCGCTGATACTTTCATCTGACGAAAATTTGTCAATTGTTGAAATTTCCACATTTGATCGCAAATTTTCATCATTAGCAAAAGAATTCCGTATCAGATTTTCCGGAACGATTGTTGTAACTGGTAAAGACATACTGTTGGGTACTGTATGATCATCAATTATGAAAGTATTATCATCGCTGATACTTTCATCTGCCGAAAATTCGTCATTGTTGAACTTGATCGCAAATTTTCATCATCATTATCCAAAATGGATTGTTAACTGAAGTGATATCATTTCTGCCTGTTTTGAATTTTTGTTGAAAAAATGAATTTTCAGTTTTAGCGATTATTGACGAAGGTGATGACTGCAATGCTATAGTGTTAAAAATATTGTCATTCTTATCAGTGCTGCTTATCAATTCTTTATCAGTATCGCTAGCAGTAGTAGTAGTAGCATTAATTTGAGATTGTAAATTTAATGTATTTAATTTGTGTAGAAAATTTGAATCAGATGATAAAAGTTCATTCATTGCTTGCTCAAATGATATTGAAGTGGAAACAGATGGTGATATTGTTGATGCAATTGATAACGATGAATCATCGCTGATAGCATTTTCCGTTTTAAGTACTGTTAATGTTTGATGAATAATTTTTTTATGATTCATATTTTTATCAGCAATTTCTTCAATTTCAGGAATAGATGTTGTTCCAGTTGTAATTTGATCATTTAAATTTTCATCCAATGTACGTCTGGTAATATCAGATTTTATTGAATTTATTATTTGTGATATTGTTGTTGGAGTTGTAGTTATTGCATTTTCAGTATTGCGATTTTCCGGATCAGTTTCTTCTATCAATTCTTCAGTATCATCATATGATACTGACGAATTATCTATTGAAATTAAGCTATTATCATGCTCATTAGCATTTTTAATTTGATTATTGATTGTATGCAAAATTGATGTGGTTGCCATTTCCGGTTCCGATCTTATTTGATGCATTTTTTGCAATGATAAACTTTCCATTGTTAATTTTGCACCAGGCGGTATTGTCATATCATTTGTTTGTTGTGTTGTTGTTGTTGTTGATGAGAGTGAATCATCGGTATATAAATCATTGTATATTTCATTTTCATCATACAATAAATCATTTAGTGAAATATTTTGATCATCGATATTTGATATAGCTGTTGATGATGAATCATACATATTTGATTCATTTAATTTCGTATAACTTACTTCATCCAAAATTAAGTAATTATAAATATTATTGTTATTATTACTTGATCGATTCAAATGTTTAGCATTAAATTTTGATGGTCGCATTGTTATATTAAAAACTGTCATTGGTATTGGAGTGATTGAAATTTCTGAATTCGCAAGTTTTGCATCAATGTCAACTTCATTTTCCATATCAATTGCAATTTCAGGTGTAATCGTTGATGTTTCAAAAAATGTTAGCCAATTGTTTATGCTTAATTTGATGCTGTTGAGGTGCTGTCGACTGTTTGATGATCAGAATCAGGAATTTCCGGATTAAGAATTGATTGAGGTTTAATTGCAAAATTGTCATCATTAGTACTTGCAGCAGTAGTAGAAGTTAATGATAAGCTATCATCGATTATTAGCTCATCATCTTCTTCGGGAATGAAACCGATAACTATTGGTTTATCTGATGAATCATTTGTTGTTTGAGTTATTGATAAATCAGGTTTATCAGGATGACTATTGGTAAGCTGTGATGAATCATCGGTCCCTTTCATTATTTCTGATATTTCATCAAACGGTGAGAAATCATCCGTTATCAATAATTTATTCGTTGTCATTGACAATTTTTTATCATCTGATAGCAAGGAAGTATCAGTTACGCTTCCGGTTAAATCCATTACATTTTTCGGAGAGTTATTTGTTAGAATTGTTGAGAATTCGGTGGTAGGAAATGAATTACTTTTTCCGGATGCTAATTGTTCCATCACTTTATCATCACTTTCAGTTGAATGTATCTTTTCTTGAATGAAACTACTTTCTGGAAATGTTGATTGTCCGGAACTAATCTGTGGTACTTCCAAAATTGTTGTCACACTATCCATTTTCATTGTGTTGCCATTTTCAACCGGAATATCCAATATATCATCCGTATGAGGCGTAATCATATTTTTCATTGGTTCAGTAATTATCTCACCTCGATTTAATTCGGTTTCCGCTTCTTTTATTCCACTAATTTCAACATTTCTTTTTCGGCAATTTTTGTTGTTTCAAATTTTTCATTTAAATGAAATGAATTGGAATGTTTCTGTTGTGAATTCAAATTTATCAATTCATCGAGTGTTGTTGAAGTAGATGAAGTAGTCAAATCCTCTAAAAAATATGCAAAATCATTGATATCTGATGATGGTACAATTTTTGATTGCATTAAAGTTTCCAAATTTGTCGCACCATTTTTGTCAACAAATTCTGAAACATTTTTATCATTCATTTCATTTGTTGATAACTTATCAGTAGCAGCACCAGTAGCACCAGTAGCAGTTATCATTTTATCATCGATTGGTGTTACTTTTGAAAAAATAGTTTCCAATAAAAATTTAGCATTTTCATCAGTGAATGATGTATTAATGTCATCCAATGTGACATCTGATAAATTTGTTGTTGTTGTTGTTGTTGTTGTTGTTGTCGTTAAATTTTGATAATTATCCATCCATGAATTTATATCAGAAATTGATTTAAAATTAATCGTTCCATCTCTCTCCTCCTCCTCCTCCTCCTTCTTCTTCTTCTCCTTCTTCTATTGTTGTAAATGATGATTCATCATTTTCAATTAATTTTGTTTGTTCAAATCGATCATTTGTTTGAAATTTAGATGACATTTTGTTGTTGCTACTAGATATCATAGGTAAATTTACCTTACTGTTATCTATTTTATCAGTTAATGAATGATAATCTGAATGCTTATCACTACTACTATCAGTACTTTTAATATGTGTTAATTCATTAGCAACATTACTGCTTATTGATTGTGTAATTTTTTCTGTTGAAGTAAATTTTGATTGTGTTGTTTCGATCATTTCATCAATATCCGTATCATCCGGTTGCTCAAATTCATCACCATTTCCGGTCCATAAAAATGGTAGTAAAGTAAATGTTGTTGATTCGATATTAGCAATATATTTTTGCTCATTTGATATAGTACTATCATCAGTATCAGTTGAAAAAATTTTCATCCTTTCAACAATAAAATCATCTTCCGCTTTTGAATCAATATCAGGAAATGATGATAATCGTGAATTATCATTGATGAATTGATGATCATTCTTTGTTCTAGAAAATCTTTAATGATCACCTTTTTTTTTTTTTTTTTTTTTTTGGAGTTTAATTTAATAAAGTTTAATTAAATTAACAAATTGTTAATTGAATAATTTTGAAAATAATCGACAATAACTTTAAAATGTTTTTTTTCTTAAAAAAAAAAACAAATAACGTACGTTTTGCTGAATTTTGTTGTAGATGAAATGAATGAAACTGTAGTTGCTTGTTCTTTTATTTCTAAAATTTTAACAAATATGAGTAATTCTAGTAATTTTATTAAATATTCAATTTAACAGGCATAAAGTAGGCAAGAAAGTTACGTGTACTTACGTGATATGATATAATAAACATTAAAAATTGTATTTATTTATTACATGTTTACGCCTAATCAAACTAAAAGTATTATCCGATATTTGAATTAAATAAATGAAAAATATGCCATAAATAAATGACATTAGTAAAAAAAAAACGTTAATTAATTAACTAAATTAATTAATTAATTAGTACTCACCTGTATTATGGAATGCAACATTTGATTGAGGTAATTCTTGCACAGGTATTGTTTGAACATCAATTTCATTTTTATTCTAATAAAAAAATAAACAAAAACGAAATTAAACTTTGAAATATAAAATTTTTACTCAAAATGAAATAACAAATAAGTAAATTCTTTTATTTTAAAATTTCTAAAATTATTAACATAAATTTTGAATTAGATTTGAAAAAAAAAAAAAAAAATTATTACTTTTTCATCAGTAACAATAGTAGTTGTTGTTGTTGTTTCTGTAATAAATGGTATAACAAATTCTGATGAATCGCTTATTGTCGTTGCAATTGTTGTATTTGCATTCAGCTTATTATCATTTTTATAATAAGAAACTGCAAAAGTAAATTTAGAAGTAAATTTTAAGTAAACAAACGAAATTTTAAAAAAAAAAGTTTAAAAAAAACAAAAAGAAAATAAACAAAAATAAATTTGAAATAAACTGAGATTCCTTTTTTTTACTAATTTAAAGAAATATAAACTATAAATAAAGATTGTTTAGTTTGAAATGGAATTAATTTTATTTATTATATGATAAAAATAATAATACAAATATCGATAACAATTTAATAGTTTTTTTAGTTAGTAAATAAATAATAATAAAATTTCAATTATACAAATAAAAAAGTTTAAATTGTATAAATAAATAATAAAATTTTCAAAAAAGAAAAAATTTTTTTATTGTATAATTTTAATAATTTATTTCCAAAAAGATTACAAAATTATGCTTCTTTAAATTGTTTAAATTTTATAAATTTGAAATGAATGAACTTTAAAAAAATAATAATAGAAAATTATACTTTTTTTAATTGCTTAAATTTTATAGGCTTTTAAATAAGTGAATGAAATTTTAAAAAATAATAATAATAAATTATACTTCTTTCAATTGCTTCAGCTTTATAAATTATAAATTTGAAATGAATGAATGAGCTTTAAAAAAAAATAAAAACTACAAAATTATGCTTCTTTTAATTTTTTTGAATTTCATAAATTTGAAATAAAAAAAAAAAGACGAATGAACTTTAGAAAATAATAATAGAAAATTATACAATTTTCAATTGCTTAAATTTTTATAAATTTTTAAACAAATGAATAGGTTTTAAAATTAATAATAAATAATAAATAAATGAATTTAATAATAAATAATAAATGAATAGTTAAATAAATAAATTAATAATAAATAAATGAATAGGCTTTAAAAATTAATAATATTTTTAATTGCTCAAATTTTTTTTAAAATTTTAAATGAATAAATGAATAAAAGTTATATTTAAAAAAAAAAAAATATATAAACAAAGAAATCACCGTAACTAACTCAGTCTATTGTTGATTAAATTTGCTAATTCTGTAGCGCTTCTTCCATTGCTAATAATATTACTTTTATGCATAAAGTAATTTACTGTATTAGCATTGTTAATAAATATTATTTCTGTTTTATTTGTTAGTTTTGTTTGTTCTAATATTTTGCTCGTTTCTTCCATATCTTTTTCAAATATTGCATCATCACTGGAAATAAATTAAAAATTTAAAAATTTTTACTTACATACAAAAAAAGTTTTACAAATTTTAAATTTTTAAAAAATTCAAAATTTAAATTTATGATAAAATTTAATTTTAATTCTTAAATTGAATTAAAACTATGATTAATTGAAAGCTTTATTTATTTTGCTGATGAATTTTTTGCGCAAAACTTAATTACAAAAGCGTATTTTAATAATTTAAACTATAAAATGACCACACAATATATGACCACCAGCACTGGTACAATGCATATGAATTAATCAACTAAGTCTTAAATATCTAATTTTTCTTTAAATTAATTGCTATTTTTAGCAGATTATGCACTTTATTAAAATTAAATTTGATAATCTAAAACTAATTTCCTTGTTTAATATACAAAAACTATTACAATTTGTAAAATTTAGCAAAATTCAAAATTTAAATTTGAAATTAAAATTAATTTTATTTCTAAAAATGAATTAAAACCATTCAATCATGACTGATTGAAAGTTTTATTAATTTTGCTGATGAAATATTGTCTGTTACTTTTCACAGTAATAACAACAGTAGTAATAGCAACTATAATAATAATAATGATAATAATAATAGTAATAATAATAATCTTTCGCAATAATAATAGTAATAATAATCTTTTACAATAATAATAGTATATAATAATCTTTTACAATAATAATAGTAATAATAATAATCTTTTACAATAATAATAGTAATAATAATAATCTTTTACAATAATAATAATAATCTTTACAATAATAATAGTAATAATAATAATCTTTTACAATAATATAGTAATAATAATAATCTTTTACATAGTAATAATAATAATCTTTTACAATAATAACAGTAATAATAATAATCCTTTACAATAATAATAGTAATAATAATAATCTTTTACAATAATAATAGTAATAATAATAATCTTTTACAATAACAATGATACATTTGAAGTATGAATTAATCTAATCTTAAAGAATGAACTTGTTTTTTTTTTTTTCTCAAATTTTTATTTTATTAATTTAAAAAATTTAAAATATGAAAGTAATTATAACCTGTATGAAGTACGATCAGCAACAAATAAAATGTAACGACTTGGTTTTCTTCCAAGACTATAGCGATAATATTGCCAAACAGCACTGTAATTTTAATTTAACAAAAAAAAAAAAAAAAAAATACAGGTAATTTTAAAAAGTAATTATAAGGTAAAACAAAATTCTCTTTCTCTCTCCCTCTCATTTTATTCTAAAACTTTTTTTCCAAATAAAATTGCATATATTTTATGCAAAAAAAAAAAAAAAAAAAACAAGAAAAATAAAAAAAAAATAAATTGTTAAATTTTTTTTCTTTTTTTTTTTAGAAACCGGAAATTATTGTTCAGCATGAAATGTAAACAATTTTTTATGTAAATATTTTAACAGAAAAAAAAAAGTAATTAATTTTGGGCAATTTTAAAAGAAAAAAAAACAGGTATTCTGGAAATTAAATTAGCATAGCTTATTTCCTGTATATTTATATAAAAAATAAATAATTATTAAAATTATTTTTTGCAAAAAAAAAAAAAATATTTTAGATTTTAATATAATTAAATAAAATGGTGCAAAAAAAAAAATTTTTTTTTTTTTTGGAGCATAGAGATTAAAGAACATTTTTAAAATGTGGGTAATTAGAGCAAATATTTTTAAAAAAAAAAAAAAAATTTTGCTGAAAAATTAAAATGAAAAAGAAGAAGGAATAACAGAGAGAAAGAGAGAGAGAGAGAGAGAGAGAGAGAGAGAAATGATTGATTGCAAAATGATAAATTCTATTGTTATCAAAGATATCAATTGATGTGCTTTAAAAATTTTTTCCTTGTTAAGCAATTAATTTTTTCTTTTTTTCTCTCTTTATGGTTTTTTTTTTTTTAAGCAATTAATTTTAGCTAATTAGTAAAAATACAATAAATCAATTAGCTAAAATTTTATATTTCAATCTAAAGTGTAGAAAAGAACTTTCGTTTATTTGAATTTAATAGTTCAAAAAAATTTTTTTTCATTAAAAATAAAATTAATTTTAAAAATAAAATTGTGATAAAATAGTACAAAAGCTAAACTGAATAATTTAAATTAGTACCAATAGATTTATGAAAAAGCTAGTTAAAACTGATTTAAAAATTTTTCACTTTTTATTTAAAAATAATAATTAAATAAAATCTATCAATTTAAATAATAGCTAAATAATATCTAAAAAAAAAGGAAAACTTGGCAAAATGATAAATAAATAATAATTAAACAATAATATTTAATAATTTTTTTTTTTTTACAAAAAATTAAAATAATCCATAAAATTTATATGACAATAAAAATGAATTAAATTTGAAGTGCTAATAGAAAATTAAATTTTAAACAAGAAAAAAAAAATAAAAGCAAACTCTGTTTGATTGGGATTTTCACCGATGAAAGTTTGTTCTCGATCAATTTGATTGATCTGATCGATCTGATCGATATATCGCATTGTACACGGTGCATTACAGAATTCGCTAAATGTTGTTTGTCCAGGAATGGAATAAGTTTGTATTACAAATTGCGCGTCACTTCCGTAATACGTGAATAGAAGTGAACGTATCACTTGTAACGTGTACTTCTGAATTGTAAAAATTACACTATTTCATTTACTTTTTAAAAATTTATTTTTAAAAAAAGTATATAATAATTAAATTACATATTGAATATAATTAGCAGTGTAATATTTTATAGTTTTTGTAGCAAATAATATAATTTTTTAATACATTTTTAACCAAAATTTAATTTCTAAAAAATTTAATCTATTAAATTTTTATTTAATTTATTAAAATTTATATTATTTAGTACTATCATTTTAACTTATCAATTTTTACAGTATAATAGCAATTTTTAATACATTTTTAACTAAAATTTAATTTCTAAAAATTTAATCTATTAAATTTTTATTTAATTTATTAAAATTTATACTATTAAGTACCATCATTTTAGTTTATTACACTAATTTTAACAGCTAATTTTTATTAGAAATAAAATATCAAATAAAATTGCATTTGTTAATAAAATTTTATTGATTTATTTTATTTAAATTTATTGATAAATATTCTAGCAAGAAATTATTTAAAAACGATTCTCGACATTAATTGTTCTAACAATTATTGATTCCAAATTGATTAATCTAAAAATCAATCGATACTGATCTATCTAACTGATCAATCGAATAATATTTTGTAATCTATCATTTTGTTTACGATCGAAATATAAAAGTAAAACTTTCAAAAACAATATTTTTGGCAAAAATAAAAAGAGAAAAATTAATTCAATTTGATTTGAAATGAATTGAAGCGAAATTACATTCAATTATCAGAAATATGGTTAAAAAAAACAAAACAAAAATGCAACTAAAATAGTAAAAAAAAAAGAAAAATTGAAAAAAACATTTGCGCCAAAAGAAAAAAAGAAGTTCGTTAAAATTAAAAATTGTAAAATTTAATGGCTCAATTAAATTTTCTACTTTGATAATTTTAAATGTTTACTTTTTGAAGAAGAAGATAGATTATTTCATTACTTTTTCAATCATTTTCATTTTGAAAAGAAAGATACTTAAAGAAAAAAATTATGAGATTTTGTATTTTTATTTAAATTACAGTTATTAATTTAAAAAAAAAAAATTAAAATGCAAATTCAAATTTGTTATTTACTTTATAAATCAAAAAAATAAAATAAAATGAAAATTCAAACTTGTTATTTACTTAATAAATCAAAAAAAAAAAAATTAGAAAATATTTTTGATTTTTTGTGCTTTCCTTTCTTTTTTAATAGGAAAGAAGTTTTTCCAAATTTTTTTTTTTCATTTAATAAATTTAAATTCAAATTAATTTCTATTTTTTATTCAAAAAAAAAAATTAGAAATATTTCTTTAAAATATTGCATTTATTGGCTGATTTACTAATATTTTCTTATTTTTTTTTTTTTTTTTTACATTTAATGAAAGAAAATAAATTAAAAATTTTTTTTTTGATTTATTTTTTTCATTTATAGAATTTTTGTTTTCTTACTAATTCGGAATGATACAGTTATGAGCAGTAAAAGAGTCAAGAAAAAAATTTTTGAACTTGAATAATTGATAAATGAATAATTTGAGTAATTTCAATTATTGAATTTAGTGATAGTAAATTTTTTTTTTTTAAAAAATATTAACTTTCTAAATTTGCAAAAATTGAATTTATTGTTGTGTTTTTTTTATTAGAACATATGATAATTTAAAGGTAAGAAAGTATAAGCTAGCATTTAAGTAAGTAAACAAATTAATTTGAAAATTTTTTTTTATTTTAAAAAAAATAACTTCCAATGTGGTACTTATGCTTTTCGTTCTTTTTTTTTTTTAAAATTAAACAAAATTTTAAAAGAATAAAATTTTAGCTTTATATAACTATAATTAATTGACATATTTCTTTTTCCTTCACTAATGTTGTTTGTTTTCTGAGTTTGAAATATCTTTTTTTCAAAAAAAAAATTATTTTGAAGTTTAATTAACTTGAATTTTAGTTTTATAAAATTAAACTTTTATTATGTGATTTAAAATTGTTCTTAACAAATAAATTTTGAATAAAAAATATCAGAATCCTTGGAAAAAGAAAAATATTGCATTTCTAATAGTTTCAATTTGTATGCTATTGAAAATTTAAATTAAAAAAAAAAAAAAATACAATTCATTTTTCCTTTCAAAATATTCAAGTGTTAATTTTATGCTATAAAATGTAAACAAAATATTTTAAAATACTTTTTTTTTTATTTTATTTTTCGAAAAAAAAAAAAAAAAAACAAGAAAGAGACATTGTACTTCAATTTCTATGCCATCAATTTTATATTCTGTGAAATTTAAATAAAATTGAAATTTATTTTATTTTATTTTATTTTTTTTTTTAAATAAATTCTGCTATCAATTCTAATGCTATAAACAATTTATGTGCTATGAAATTCGTACAAAAAAAAAAATTTATTTCATTTTTTTTTTTTAAAAAAAAAAGAAATATTATAAATTAGCAAATAAAATGTGTATCTTTTGAAGCGGAAAATGAGAAAAATAACAGGAAGAAAATGAAAAAAAAAAAAAAAAAGATAAATAATTATTTAAATAATTGTTGAATTAATAATAGATCGACATTTGCGCTTCGTTCAAATTATTTTTTGCGCTTTCTTCAAATTATTTGACGTCAGTTAATGTATATTATTTCAAGTTATTAATGTAATTTACAATAAACCAGAATACATTTGTAATTAATAACAAAATAATTAACCTAATTTAAATATAGAATTATAGGTGTAAATTACATAGAAAATGAAAAAATTGCTTACTTTAATGACGTAAGCGTCATTTGCGCCTACGCTTAGCATTTAACTGTCATATGATAATTTCACGTGTTAAATTAATTAATTTTACGTTTTAAAACTAATTAAACTGCATTTCAGTGAGATTTTAGGTTTTTGAGAGAAAAAAAATAAATAATTAAAAAAATAGAATCATTCCATTGCTAAATCTAATTTACTTACTCTCATACGATAATTTTACGCATAAAAGTAATTTCACAGTATTTTCACGTAGTTTTCACGTATTAAAATAATTTCACGTATTAAGTAATTTCACGTACTAAAATTAAATAATTTCACGTAATTTCCAGTAATTTCACGTATTAAAATTAAATAATTTCACGTATTGAAGTTAATTAAACTTCATTTCAGTGAGATTTTAGGTTTTTGAAAGAAAAAAAAAAAAAAAATAATTAAAAAATACAATCATTAATCAGTGCTAAATCTAATTTACTTACTCTCATACGATAATTTTACGTATTGAAAGTAATTTTACAGTAATTTCACGTATTAAAATTAAATAATTTCACGTGTTGAAGTTAATTAAAATTCAATTCAGTGAGGTTTTAGGTTTTGAGAGAAAAAAAATAATTAAAAAAATACAATCATTAATGATTGCTAAATTTCATTTACTTAATAATCTTCAATTATTGATTTGATCTTTTAGGAAATAATTTTAATTATTTTTTTTTTTATTTGTAGTTCACAGGAAAAAAAAATTGAAATACCAAATGATAAAATTTAAATTTTTTTTAAAAAAAAAACTGAAAAATTTTAATTTAAAAATTTAAAAAATTATTATTTACTAGTTCTGCGGAGAAAAAAATACTTTTACTAAATAATAAAAAAAAAATTGTTAATTTTTACAAAAGTAAATTTAATTAGTAATAATTTATAAAAAAAATTTTTTGAAAAGTCTCAAATATTCTCAATTTAACAAAAATTTTATAAGAAATAAATTTATTTTCTAAATTTTTCTTTTTTCTTGCTCACAAATTTTTTCTTTTTCTTTTACTGACATAATTTATTTATTTTTTTTTTTTTGTGGTTTTGCTAAAAAATTTAATTTTTTTTTGGATTATATTCCGGTTTATTGGTACAATACTGACAATTTAATAATTACAATAATTGTTGTTTATTTATTTTTTTTTTTCAACTTGTAAACAAGAAATGAAACGGAATTTTTGAAATGTTATTTACATTTAGATATATTTGATAAATAATCAATAAAATATGTTTGTTTTTAATTTTAGTGCCGAGAATTCCAAAAAAAAAAAAAAAATTTTCTCAACCAAATAACATTTTTGAAAAATTTAATTCCAAGGTTAATGTTGAGTGAAATTTTTTTTTTTTTTATTATTATAAATTATATTTCTGCAACAAAACTTTTTCATTTGTTGTTTTTTATTTTTTTTTTAAAAAAAAAAAAATGAAATTAATAATCGAAAAATTAAGCAACAAGAAAATGAAATAAAAAGTGATAAATTTTTAGGTTAGAATGGCAATTTTTCTGATAAATTGCTATGCAAAGCAGTGATAACGAAAATTTAGTGATAAATTTATTTTGTGATAAGAAATTAATGCATATACATTCATGATAAGTAAGTCATCAGTGATAAACAAATCTAATTTAATGATTAATATATAAAGTTAAACTAATTTAAAATTAAATTATCTAAGTAATTATTTGTGTAATTATAATTAGTTTGTGTAAGTCTTACGAGATTGATAATTATGATTAAGAATATCTGATAAATAATTATGATAAGAATACATTCAATGATAATGATTAAAATTATGAATGTATGATAAATTTATACCATAAATAGAAATCGGAAATGAAATAAAAAGTGATAAATTTTTAGGTTAATTTTTTTTTTTATTTTTAGGTTTTTAGGTTATTTATTTATCACTAACAATTTTTATAATAAATTAGTATATAAAGCAATGATAACGAAAATTTAGTGATAAATTTCATTTTGTGATAAAAAATTCATATGTAAATCTACGATAAGTAAGTCTTTAGTGATAAATAAACCTAATTTGATGACTAATATGAAATGAAACTAATTTAAAATTAAATAATGTAAATAATTTATTTATAAATCAATCTTATAATTATGATTAAGAATATCTGATAAATAATTATGATAAGAAAACATTCAATGATAATAATTAAAATTATGAATGTATGATTAAATTTTATACTATAAAAAAAAAATCAATATGCAGTATATGTCATTACAATTGTATTTTAGAAATTATTTTAAAGTTTATTTTTTTTTAAACAAATTTAAAATTTATTTTAAATAATATTTTTAATATAAATTTGATTACTTTAATATTTTCGACCGATCGTTTAGGTCGCATTTCTTTTGGTCCAATTAAATTTATTGCAAAAACAGCATTCACTTGATGTTTCCAATTTTCTGAAAAAAAAAATAAATAAACAATTCTAATTTGCATTTTTAATTAATAAATTATTAAATATTTGATAAAACTTTTAAATGATAAATAAGAGAAATAAAAAAGAGAAAAAACAATAATTTTTGTGAAAAATTTAAAAAATTTTTTAATAATTGGTAAATTTTAAAAAATCATTCACTAATTAATGAATTCTAAGTAATTCTTTACTAATTAGTAAATTTTGTAAATAAATTTTGCTTAAAAAAAAAAAAAAAACTAATTAATAAATTTTATTACAACAAAATAAAAGAATAATTTTAATTATTACTTTTTAAGTTTATTTCAATCTACAGTTTATTAAGTATACCCCGAGAAATTACAGGTAATCGTATAAATTAATCAAAGCTAACCTTAATTTTATAATAACAAAAATAAAAAAATTATTTTAACAATTACTCTTTTAAGTTTATTCCAAATTTACAATTTATTAAGTATAATCTAAGAAATTACAGGTAATCATATGAATTAATCAAAGCTAACCTTAATTTTATAATTTGTAACAACAAAGAAAGAAATTATTTTAACAATTACTCTTTTAAGTTTATTTCGATTTACAATTTATTAAGTATAATCTAAGGAATTACAGGTAGCCATATAAATTAATTAGATAATTGTATAAATTAATTAAGCTAACCTTAAATTTTATAATTTTAAAACAAAAAAAAACAATTACTCTTTTAAGTTTATTTCAATTTCAATTTACAATTTATTAAGTATATTCAAAGAAATTACAGGTAATTCTCAAAATTAATCAGGTAATTGAATAACTTAATTAAGCTAACCTTAAATTTTATAACAACAACAAAAAAAAAAAAACAATCACTCCTTTATGTTTATTTCAATTTACATTTTATTAAGTATGCTCTAAAAAATTACAGGTAATCTTATAAATTAATCAGGTAATTGAATAAATTAATCAAAAAACTAACCTTGATCTTGTGATAAGTCAATTGTGCTAAGAGTAAATTTTTGATTGTTTGGTGGTAATTTGAATATCAATACAATGCCAGCAACAATGATTAATGCAAATAGTATGCTAGTGATAACTGATAAGGTGACAACATGCTTGATAAGCCTTTTCTTTTTCAACTTTACGGCACTATCATTCATTTCAGTGGTTGATAAAAGTAATACAAATGGCACTACCATCGAGAAAATATAATTAATTTGTTTTTTTTTTTTTAGCACTTCATATACATCTAAAAAATTATCATTGAATATTTTAAAATATTTGATTAAATTTATTAAAAAATATTATTGCCTTTTTTTTTTGTTTGTTTAAATTGTTGTTAAATGTAAATTTGAAAGAAACAAATTAGTAATTTTAAAGATAAACATATTTTAAAAAGAAATAAAAATACTATCATTTCGTATCATACAGTAAAGATTTTAAAAGTTTTTTTTTTTTTGTCTTTTTAAAAAAAAAAAATGGGTGAGAAATTTTTGGAGAAAAAAAAAATGTAAATTGAAAAGATTGAATGATAATTATTTTAAGGATTATTTCGAAAAGTTTATAATAGTTATGATATAATGATTATTTTCAAAAATTTAATTGAATAAATTCTAAAATCAAAAAAATAAGTTTTTGGAAGGAAAAAAAAAATGTAAATTGAAAAGATTAAATGATAATTGTTTCAAATATTTTAAGTGTTATTTTGAAAAGTTTATAGTAGTTATGGATGCAATGATTACTTAGAAAAATTTAATTCAATAAATTTAAAAAATCAAAAACTTAAAAGTTTATCAAAAATTTTAAATTCATAATAAATTGAGAAAAAAAGAAATAATTTGTTGTAAAATTTTCCACTATAAATTATTATTTAAATGATAAAAGCTATGAAATTGATGAATTTAATCGATGCAAAAATTTAAATTTTAATAAAAATAAAAAAAAAAAAAGAAAAAAAAGAAATGAAAATTTGAAGAAAAGAAATAAATTATAAAAGATTAATGAAATGGAAAAAAAAAAATTTTTTTTTTTTTTTTATTCGTTTTAATAGTTTTTTGTTGTTTGAAAAAGAGATGAAAAATGATGTGACATAGATATATAAATCCAAGAAAAATGAAATTGTTTTTTTCTTTCTCTTTTTGTTTTGTCTTTAAAAAACAAACAAAGATAAACAATAACAATAATAGCAATAACAATAAACAACAATTATTTATTTTGTAACATTTGTGTATGAGTGATGAAAATAATTCAAAATAATGAGCAATTGAGCAATTTGAATTGATTCGTCATTAATATTCCAGTTATTTGAAATTTTTTATAAAATAATATCCTAATGTTAACACCCCCCTTTTTCAAAAAAAAAAAAAAAAATGAAAAATAAAATTAAAAAAAAATTAAAATTAAAAAAAGCATTCATTTACAAATGACTAACGAAGAGTGAAATATGATGAATAATGTATAAAATTAAAATTGAAAAAATAATTTTTAATTTTTATTTGTATTAATTTCATTCTTTCTTTTTTCTTCGTATAAGAAATGTTATTTATTTTAAAGATGATAACAATTCATAAATAAATAAATAAATAAACAATAATTTATTTAAGTGATAAGAGATTAGTGATAATAGTAAATGACATTTTTTTTTTTTTTTTATTATCATTGCAAATAAATGTTTATCAAAAAAAAAAAAAGAAAAACAAAATGTTTCGTTTTTAATTTTTTTTTTAAAAAAAAATTTATTAAATCATATTAATCATTTAAAATTTTACAAATCAAAATTGTATATTTAAATAAAATTAAAAAACAAAAAACAAAAACAATTTTGCCATTCTAAAATTAGTATTTCTATCATAATTCTTCTTTTTTGATAAATTTTTTTATGTTTTAATGAATGAAATAATTGAATCGATGTTTCGATTACAATCAATCGGGCGCAATTGACTTACATTTTTTGTTTTTCTTTTTTTTTTTTTCTCGAATGAATTTAACAAAAATTTCAACTGCGATATAATTTTAAATGGAACAATGAATGATAAATTTATATATTTAAAAAAAAAAAAAAAAATTTATTGATAATTTAATGTCATATTTGGTGGTTAAAAATTGTTGGTACATTAATTTAACAATTGAAATTATAAAATTGCGTTTTTTTTTTTTTTTTTTTGAAATGATTTATTTACAAGATTTGATAATATTATCGAAATTGAAAATTTGTTATTGCAACAATTCAAATTAAATAAATCAAATTAAAATCATATTGAAAATGCAATAACTTTCATTTTAATTCATTTTTTTTTTTAAAAAAAAAAAGGAAAAAACAAATTTTTTATCATTTATTCATAATTTTATGCTATATTTTTGTTTTTAAATAAAAATTATTAAAGGATAAAAAATTTTTGTTTTTATTACTAAATTAGAAATTGAATCAATCAAGAACAGAAAAAAAAGAAAACAATTATTATTATTGAAATTGAAATAATCTGACTTACTTCTGGTGATATTATTACTATTTTGATAGTAATTTTGATTATCTTTAGAGATAATTTATTGATAATAATGATATGATAAAGAAAATGTCGAATGAAATATTTTGTTTTATTACTAAATTGAGAATTGAATCAGTTATCATTATTGATAATCAAATAATCTGACTTCTGGTGATATTATTACTATTTTGATAGTAATTTTAATTATCTTTAGAGATAATTTATTGATAATAATGATATGATAAAGAAAATGTCGAATGAAATATTTTGTTTTATTACTAAATTGAGAATTGAATCAGTTATCATTATTGATAATCAAATAATCTGACTTTCTGGTGATATTATTACTATTTTGATAGTAATTTTAATTATCTTTAGAGATAATTTATTGATAATAATGATATGATAAAGAAAATGTCGAATAAAATATTTTATTTTATTACTAAATTGAGAATTGAAACAATTATTATTATTGAAAATCAAATAATCTGACTTACTTTTAGTGATATTATTACTATTTTGATAATCATTTTAATCATCTTTATAAGATAATTTATTGATAATAATGATATGATAAAGAAAATCTCAAATGTTTAAGAAAAAAAATTTGCTCACTAATTGAACAATTCATTGAAATTCTCATTCATTCATAATTGCTATAATTTATAAAACTAGTAATATTCATTTTTGTTGATTTAAAAAAAAAAAAAAAAGGGCACTACAATTAGCTTATCATTAGAAATAATAATCAAATAATACTAAAATGATAAGAATTACAGTGATAAGTGTGAAAGAAAACTTTAAATGTAATTAAGTTTTTTATTTTTTAAATTTAAATTTTGCTTTTAATTGAAAAAAAAAAAAAAAGCTTTGAAAATATACACTTAGAACATTTGAAAAGAAAATGCTTAAATTTTCTTCGTTTAAATATTTTCATTAAATTTCAAGTTTATTGCTGATTTGTACTTTTATATTAAACCTGTTCCTATGCTTCCCCTTCTTCCCCTCTTTTCGTTTCTTTTCTTTGCTTTCTTAGCAATTGTAATTTTAAGGAAATGAATAAATAAATAAATAAATAAATAAGCTTTTAAAATAAAAAAATAAAAGAAAGAATTGAATACATTAAAGAATGAAATGCTATTTTAAAATTACAGTAAGAATTTTTTTTTTTGAAAAAAATAAACACATTAACAGTACATTGATATTCATGATTTTTTAGATAAATATTTTTGTTATGGAAATGCAAAAAGAAAAAAACATTTTGAAATTAAATTTTTCGTATAGATGAAAAAGTTTTTTTTTTTTTAAATGGGAAAAAAAATTTCGTTTTGTTATTGAATGTTAAAGAAAAAAAAAAAATAATAAAGCTGATTACATTCATTTTTATAAGTGTATGATAAAAGATTATTAAGATAAACAAACTTATTAGCAATTTTAATTAATATAAATTTATTTCAATATGATTTAATAACTAAAATATAGAGCAAAAATATTGCTAATGCAATAATAATAGTTATGTTATTAAATAGTGATAATATGTTAAAAATATGAGTGATAATAATAATAATAACTAAATTCTATTGAACAATGATAATATGATAATAATATGAATAATAATAGTAGTGATAATAACATGCCATTAAATAATGATAATATGATAATAATAGTGGTGATAATAACATGCTATTAAATAGTGATAATATGATAATAATAGTGGTGATAATAACATGCTATTAAATAATGATAATATGATAATAATAGTAGTGATAATAGCATGCCATTAAATAATGATAATATGATAAATAATAAGAATAATAATAGTAGCGATAATAATATTCTATTAAATAGTGATAACGTGATAAAAATATGAATATTAGTAGTGATAATAACATTCCATTAAATAATGATAATATGATAATAATATGAATAATAATAGTGATAATAACATGCTATTAAATAGTGATAATATGATAAAAATATGAATAATAATAACATTCTGTTAAATAATGATAATATGATAATCATATGATAGTAATAATAATAATAGCAATAATAATTTATTAAAAAATAAAGGCTAACAGTACATTGATATTCATGATTTTAGAAAATATTTGTTATGGAAATGCAAAAAACATTTAGTAATAATAATGTTTAATAGTAAAACAAAATAAATAAATAAATAAACATAATAACAGTAATAATAATTATGTTTAATAGTAAACAATCAAATAAATAAACAAACATAATAATAATAATAATACACTATTAGCAGATATGATAGTGAGAAAATCATAACAATGCGAATAATAATAATAATAATAATTGTGAATAATAATGGTAGATTCGAATAATAATTATTATTATGATAATAGTAATAATAATAAACTATTAAATGATAATAATATGATAGTCATATGATACTGGCAACTAATGATAATAATAATAAGAAGAAGAAGAATAAAAATAATAATAGTAGCAATAATAACGATAATAAAGTTGTGTTAGTAATAATAATGTTTATTAGTAAACAATGAGATAAATAAACAAACATAATAGTAATAATAATAATACACTATTAACAAATATAATAGTGTAAAAATCATAATAATATGAATTTTAAATTTTTAAAATTAAGTAATACTTTTTTAAAATTATCATTTCGTTAAACAAATTAT